TTTCCAAATCTGAACTTTTATTTATTTTTAATAATGTAAATGTTTTTCGTATGAAATGATTCATGTTTTATACATGTGTGCAATTTTTTTATGTTTGTATGGATTTAATATATTATTTTATACTTATTTACAGCAATAAAAATTGAAAACAATAAAACCAAGACTATAAACTCGGCGAGACATAAAGTAAACCTTTATAAATAAATAAATAAAATGTTTAGATCTTTTATAGTTCTACAGTATGTCCCCCTAAGTTGGAATCATATGCAAAACTTTTTTATTATTAATTTTAGGATAAAAAGTTATTCTTCATAAAAAGTTTTGCATTATCTAAAACCTAGAATACAGTCATCAAATATCAAATTTTTTCATTGGTATACGAGGTTTGTCAAAAAATATGAGTTTTACTCAAGAGTAAAGTACCTTTATTCTTTATACGACTGATAAATTTTTTTTCCCAATATTAATAAAAATATTTTCATATGCCGCTATTTTACGTAGACAGTTGGTGGCATAGGAAAGCTTTTTTATTACTAATTTTAGGAAAAAAAGTTGTTCCTTATAAAAAGTCAAGCATGGCATAAAACTTAAAATACAAACATCAAATATCAAATTTTATCCGTCGTATAAAGAATAAAGGTACTTTACTCTTGAGTAAAACTCATATTTTTTGACAAACCTCGTATACCACTGAAAAAATTTGATATTTGACGACTGTATTCTAGGTTTTAGATAATGCAGAACTTTTTATCAAGAATAACTATTTTTCCTAAAATTAATAATAAAAAAGTTTTCCATATGATTCCAACTTATGGGGACATACTGTATATAATTCAAGAACGAAGAGATGTTTTTAATTTCTTATAAGTTACCCCTATCTTTCGGTAAAAATAATCTACATTGACCCGTCCACATTAAAGAATGAACATTTTTATACACATTTGGCCCTTCGGAATGTTAAAAAGGTAGGTAGGCACCTAAACAAAATCAGCTGGAATACCAGTTTCAGTTCACGTATCCAATCATCAACCATTAAAAAATTCCATCAAGTTTCTAGTTCATCCTTGTAAGCGATGAGTCATCGCTTTGAGATTCCATGAACTAGTTTATTTATAAACGAAATGTCATGGGTTTGGTTTTCTTTGAACAATAATATTTATATAAATGCAATTTCTAAAAACCTGAATGTCTAATAATTTTGCGATAAGACGGAAAAACTTTAGTAATAAAAATAACGTTTTCATCCGTTTAAAAGCGCTACTAGATATGCAACCAAACATACATTTACACAGTTAACGATTTAAAATGTGTAGATCCAGCATTGCTAAGTTAGTTTAAAAAATAAAAGCGCTCGCAGAAACCAATTTCCAAGTTAATCAAGGCATTTTAATAACAAAATATTAGATTCCAAATCCAATAATTATGTGTCGACCACCTCGAATGCATAAAAAAATTGAAATCATGTTAGTTTTTGAAAAATTATATTATTTCAAATTCTTAACAAATAAACGAATTGTATTTTTGCTTTCTGTCAACCTCAATCTCTATCAATTCGAATATATACAGTATGTCCCATATGAGGACAATATAGGAAAGGATAAGTTAAATCGCTTCTAGAGACAAATTTTCACGTTAATTAAAAATGAAACGAAAAAATTGATTAACATCAGTTCATAATAGGATCTGACGTATGCCTGCAGCAGGGCTGTTTTCAAACTCGAGAGAAAGTGAATTATCTTCAACATTTTCATGAAAAATGTCATACGTCAACGTGGAAACAGTATTTTTTCAAAGACAGTGGGAGCTCGCTGATTGTTTTTTCGGTTTATTTCGAGATAAGTAAAATTTTAATTCTCACTGGCTTTTAAAATATTGTTTTTAGGTTGACGTATAACATTTCTCTCAACATTTCATGATAAATGTCATACGTCAATGTGGAAACAGTATTTTTATAGCCAGGGAAGTCTCCTTTAAAAAATACTATTTTCACGTTGACTTATGACATTTCTCTCAAGATTTTCAATACAAATGTCATATGTCAACACGCGAAAAAATATTTTTAAAGCCAGTGGGAACTCAGTGATTGTTTTTTTTTTTCAGTTTATTTTAGGAGAATTTTCAAGAGAAATGTCATACGTCAACGTGGAAACAGTATTTTTAAGGCCAGCGGGAACTCACTGGCTATTTCTTTCAGTTTATTTCAAAAGAAAAATTTTAATTCTCACTGACTTTAAAAGTACTGTTTTTAAAGTTGACGTATGTCATTTCTCTCAATATTTTCATGAAAAATGTCATACCTCAGTTTGAAACAGTAGTTTTAAAGCTAGTGGGAACTCACTGACTTTTTTTTTCGGTTTATTAAAAATACTGTGTTCACTTTGACGCATGACATTTCTCTCAGGACTCATGAGAAATATGTCAAAGTGGAAACAGTATTTTTAAAGCCAGTGGGAATTCACTGACTGTTTCTTTCGGTTTATTTCGAGAGAATTAAAATTCTCACTGACTAAAAATACTGTTTTTACGTTTACATATGACATTTCTCTCAAAATTTTCATGAAAAATGTCATACTTCAACGTGGAAACAGTATTTTCAAAGCCAACTCACTAACTTTCTTTCGGTTTATTTCAAGAGAATTCTCATTGGTTTTAAAAATACTGTTCCACGTTGACGTATGATATTTATCTCAAGATGTTCATAATAAATGTCACACATCAACGTAAAAACAGTATTTGTAAAGTCAGTAAGAAATTTCTCTCGAAATAAACCGAGAGAAACAGTAACTGAGTTCTCACTGGCTTTAAAAATATTTGTACGTTGACATATGACATTTCACATAAAAATCTTGACATAAATCACTTTCTCTTGAGTTTAAAAATAGCCCCACGCATGTTTGATAAAATTTTATAGTGGTTTTCGTGATACCAACCTGTTAAAAAGGTACTAAAGTATATCTTAAGTAAATTTTCCTCTATTTATTTTATGCAGGAGTAGATCAAAAAACCTCACAAAATGTTACATCGTAAGTAACTTATATTGCCCGAACCTTGTTTGTCATTATTAAAAATTTTTTCGTGCGAGATAAGTGGACTCTAATTATTTGATGTGATGACAATAAACTTTCCTTATGTTTGGACTTACCTTAGGAGTCTCTTAGGCTCCCACAAGGTGGTGACGATCAGCCGGCCGATAGTTTGGCACTTTTTAAATAAAATGCATAAATTGCGTGATGGAAAAAACATTCCCAAATAATCGACCGTTCTCTCTTAATAATTCGACGATATTGTCGATTTTCGTCCGAAACATAAGTCGAAAAGAGTAAAAATATTCAAACAATTAATAAGAGCCAATAAACAACTATCAATCAATGCAGTAGCTCAAACATTTTAAACTTGGTATGGTTAAAAAGTCAAATGTGTTATAATTATTTTGAATTTCCCATTGGGAAGCTGCAGTAAAATTTCAGAAATAATTTTGTACAGTATGAATATAACAAATGCAATTAAAGAACAGTAAAGAAAACAAATCAACAATAATATCCGTTATATTAAGTGACCTTAGCAATATTGTTTACAAAATTCATATCGGAAAACAACATAAATACCTATAATTTTGTAACCACTTCAATTATAATAAAACTATTACATTTGCTACTTTTTTTTATTTTATATACCAATCAAAACGAAAAAGGACACTTTTAAAAATGTGGATTTTTTTTACTAGAATAACTTTTTTTACAATTTTTGTATTTTATATGTTTATGTGATATTGTATGTTTACAGGATTTTTGCTTAATATTCGTCTAGATATTTGAAGTGTGTTAAAAAAAGAAATGCTTGCCAACGAGAATTTATCCCAAGAAGATGGACCAAAGATTTTGTAGTAAAATATTTACTAATATAAAATGCTTGCCAACGAGAATTTGCTCCGTCGATCACGAGGTAACATTACCCCTTTATCCGACAATTAAAATAGGCGAATTTTAATTATTAAGCTGATTTTTTTCCGAAAATAGGACCATAATCCCGAGGCTATATCAGTCCATCTAGAATTGTTTTTTTTTAATTATTTATCGAGAGGAAAATAAATAATGTTTTTTGATAGCAATGCAGAGTGAAATATTTAGTATGTTAGAATGACATTAAACGTATTCAACCTGTTGATTTTGAAATTACAAATGGTAAAAAAATAAAATTAAAAAAAATTGGTAGAAAAAAAGTACAAAATTTTGAAAAAAATCCAAAAATTAAAAAAAGTAAAAAGTGTATTTAAAAAATTAAAAAAAAAAGTGTAAAAATAGTAAAAAGTGTATACCAACATTACATGTGACAGTTATTTTACTTACATTAAGTATATTCTTAATTAGCCTTTAGTAGGCACCTGAAAGTGAGGCCGTAAAGCTTTCCGTTTGTAAATATATATTTTGGAGATTAATTATACTGTTAACTGATTTAGAGCTTGTCGCCGTTTATTAGGAATTTCTGCCTTTATTGATTCATATTTAATTTCTTACAAAAATATTACAACTTTGAGTCGTCTGACGTCTCGTTTGCAGGGGTTTTAAACTAAAGCCTTGCAAATGACACTTCTAGATGGTCCCGTAGGCCTCTTCACAACTTTCCAGCCAGAGGTACGAACTTACCACCTTGCGTCCGCTAGCTCTGTCTATATATTGTAAAAAGTTTACTGCCGAATCATAGGCATGCTTTTTACTATTTGATGGTATGTATAACGTACACGAAGTATATTAATTTCCGTTCACTATCATTTGTATATAACCAGAGCTTCAAAATATGCATTATTCCTTAATAATTTAAAAATTCTATATTTTTTCAAAATTGTTCGATAAAACAATGTCTCTATCAGCTCTTATCATGGTCGTGTGAATCGGATATATCAAAAAAATTGCTTTTTCACTATTGCTCGATCGTATTCCATCAATAAGTTGGTGTATTTAATAAATATAAATAAACGTTTTTAAAAAGAAAAAATCACTTACCACACTACTATCTGTCGGTTGTCCCAACGTAGAAGCCGTTACGAAATCTTGTCCCTTGACCAATTTAACGAACGAACAGTTAGGAAACCATCGAGCATGTTCCGTCCACGGGTCATCGTGCGGGTCCCAGTGTCTGAGTCCCCCATCGCAATGAAAACATCTAACCTGGTCTCCCATGCCTTCGTAGTAGAAGCCAGATTGAGCAAGTACTTCTGGCGTTTGGATTAAATCAGAAGACCAACCGACGTACGATCTTAACCTAAAATAATTGCGATTTTTTACTTTATTTCTTCTTTGACCTGCTCATAAAATGGTTAAAAAATTCAGTTAATATAAATAGATTTAAATCTAGCATTTTAGTAGTAATTAAACTGGCCAAGGCAATAGGAATACAATTATCAAAATCGATATCATAATATTTTATTACAAACAAAACTAGTTTTGGCCTATGTGGCCATCAACCGGCATGCAATAAAAACAACTATGTTGGACAACATTATGACAAAGATAAAAGGTACACAAAACATCCAGAATAAATTAACAATTGTTTTTTCTTTACATAAAATTTATGAATAAGTAATTATTTGTAAAGATAGTAAATAACGATGGTAACTATTTAAAATTGTAAAAACATAAAATTAACATAACTACAGTGTAATAAAAGTTAGTTCAAGGGCGACAAATGGTACTTATAAAATCAGGCAATGGACTGTGGCCGATAGCTTCACAATTTATTAATTCCATTTTGTCAAAAAAAAGTAATTCATATTACATTAAAGTTCCTTAAAAGAAAAATCTTCTAGATCCATTAAATATTATTTTACAATGTTTATAAAACAAAACCAACATAATTCCACACCTTTCTACCTTCGATTTAACTGCGGTTAAGATGGAATACGTCATCAAAAGGGAAAAGAGAACGTTAATCCTGGCATCTGCATACCTCCCCTACAACGCAACCACGCTACCACAGAGGTGAAGTACCTAGGTCTTACCTTTGACAGCAAGTTAACATGGAACTCGCATTTAGAAAACAGAGTCAAAAGAGTCATACATTGATTATGAACAATGCCGCCGAACCGTGGGGCGCACCTGGGGTTTCTCCCCCAGAGTCGTCGTATGGACTTAACACGGAAATCATAAGACCTATGCTAACATACGGTGCCCCGTTGTCTGGGTACCGAAAAACCAAAAATTAACAGCTACCTATAAACTAGCACAAATTGCAAAGAACAGCATATCTCAACATAACAGGAGCCATGAAAACAACACCGACCAGAGCCATGGAAGTCATTCTTAGTCTCACTTCCCTTGATATTTACAGTGATGACAGTGACACGCCTCCGCGCGGTTGGAATAGAACCTGATGTAGGATCTGGTAAGGCGAGACGTCGCTTTTGGCAGGAGGCGCTCGATACGCTCCCACTGCTTCAAGCGAACATGGACTCCATCTCACCGAGATATATCTTCCATAAGCCATATAAAGTTATAGCAGAACAAATAGAAAAGCCGGAAGTGGCAGGTACGATTCATATATTCACTGATGGTTCTAAAACAAAACAAGGCTCAGGATGTGGAATATATTCCAGATTCTTAAATCTAAATATAAAATGGGCTGTGAGCAATAGTGTCAGTGTAGTTCAAACAGAGCTAACGGGGATTCTCAGAGCAGCAAAAGAAATCACCAGAAACAATATAACTGGAAGGAACATGCTCATCTATACAGATAGCAGACAAGCACTACTCACCCTGAACAGACCACGAATTTACTCAGGGTTAGTACTAGAATGTCACGAAGCTTTGGCTGAAGTATCCATCAACAATGTGGTCACCTTAAGATGGATAAAAGGTCACGCCACATCGAAAGGTAACCGTCTTGCTGATTCACTAGCCAAGAAAGCAGCCAACCAAATACTTTTTGGACCTTGCTCTTCCATAAGCCTGACAAAATCGGTAGTGACGGACCTAATTAAAGAACATTCCCTTGTGAAATTCAAGGAAAGATGGGATGAAACAAGAAACTGCAGAGTTGCCAGGGAGTTCTTAAGTTATCCTGACAACGCTGCAGCAAACAAATACTTGACTGACTAGACAGAATCTGCACTTAGTCACTGGTCGGCCAAATATGGAGGTATCTCCATATCATGGGACTGTCAGAATCCGCAGGGCCGACTAGAGGGGGGGTAGCCGGGAATAAATCCCGGGGCCCGGACTCAAATGGGGGCCCGGCAGCGGGAAGGTTTTTTTTTAGAAAACTCAATTTAAGTAGAGGAGGAAAATATTTTGCTTGAGGACCTTTTTTTTTTTAGAAAATTTAATTCAAGTAGAAGAGGAAAAGTTGTTTTTGTTTGAGGAGCTTTTTTTTGTCACGGGGCCAGATCTAGAGAATTGTCGTGGGGCCCGGCCTGGCTCTCGGCAGCCCTGAGAATCCGCACTCTGCAGAAGGTGCGAACAAGAAGATGAGACCATCGAGCATATTCTTTACGATTGTTCAACGCTCTCATTTATTAGAAGATTTGTGTTCGGCGAGTATCGGCTAACACCGGCCGATATAAGAGAAGCACCTCTTGGCGACGTTGTCAACTACATTAAATCTGTAGGCTGGCTCACGAGCTAGGAGGTGCCCATCATCTTAGGATTCACAATGGGCCTAGTGAGGCCTAAGTGCCGTGGGGGTAACCCACCCTCCACACGTTACAGATACAGATACCCTGACTCTTTTCCAACCCGATCATTAAAACAAGTATTATTAAAAACAGTGCATTTCAAACAAAATTTATTTGGGCGAAACACATGTGAGGTCTCGGTGAGAAATATAATTTAACATTCCATTTAAAATATTATTTAATGAAAAATTAATTAAGTTAAATATATTTTCAGTATCATTTCATTCACTAATTTGCCTGGATTACTTTAAATAATTAACTATTATCGTACTGAATAGTATTAAACTAGATGGTAACTACTAGAGGCGAAATGCCGATAAAGGTAAGTACATATTTCTTTGAATATCACAAAAGGGAGGGGGGTAATTTGCAAACTTTAGCCAGAAAATGAGGGGACTAGGGACCAGGAGTTACATTGGTGTGGCCTGGATTGAACTCTTGCTATTACAAAATGGCATAGTTCATTAGATAAGTAGTAGGCTGGGGCCTTTGATCTTCTTTGAACATTATTTTGCCGACGAATTCCCGGGAAGTAAGGAGAGGAACTCGTTGTCGTCTTCTGTCCGAGTGATTCTACTAGTCTTGTTTATGTACTATGGCCATGAGGTTGGGAGATCACAGGACGTTTTTAGTAAGTCGGATTTTGAGCATCAAGCAGGCGAAATTAAAATAAAAAAGTGGTTTTATGGTTAAAGGTTGATGTTAAAAAATAATAAGGTGGTATAAGAAGTAGATCTAAACCTTATATAATCAAATATCGATTTTAAAAACGCTAAATTTGTCTATTGAAATGATTACAAGGAAAAACTGGAACATATTGGCAGAAAGAGGGGTTAGAGTATAAATGAGTTAATTTTTATTATAATATTGCCTATAGTTATGTTAATTTTATAATACCACAATTTTGATTATTTATTATCCTTACCAATAACTACATATTTGACAGATTCTATATAAAAAAGGTTATAATTATTAATTTATAATGGATTTTTTTATTTAAGTACCTTTTATGTTTAATGGAACCAAAAGAGATACACATAGAAACAAAGAAAACTTGTATGTCATGCAAAATTGTTTTATTTAAAAAATACAAAGTGCTTTCTGCATTACGCCATCTTCAGTGCTTATCGTCCGTTCAAGACTTCCAAAAATTTTAAAGGTTCATCTTATTTCCAAATATTAAATGTTGAATTGTCCCACTTTGCTAACTACTCATTATTTTGTTAAAATTGAAGGTTTTCAACTAATTTATATGAGCCATTTTATATCTAACAAATTTTTTTTTAACATAAATAATTTTAAAGAAAATAAACATTTAATGTTTGGATACAGGATGACCTTTACACTTTTTGGAAGTCTCTTCGTTGGACAATAATCACTGAAGATGCATTTTTTAAATAAAACAACTGCATGATATACCAAGTTTTCTTTATCTGTGTGATAACATTGTAAAATATTTGAGATAATGGATAATCTTTCATTCATACTAAGTCTGTTCCTTTGCCATGTTAAACATATAAAGCACTGCACTAGTGTGACGTCAATGGGTCAAACAAAAACCAAACCTTCTGTTTGTTTATTGTAAGTATTGCAGTGGTATGCTTTTAGATGAATACAATTTTGAAAAATAATTTATGAATATATTTTAAGAACAAAAACCATTTAAATAAAATAACCATTCAAAAACTAGTTATTTAGTCAATAAACAACTTTATTTAGCTCATTTTTTAAGATAACCCGCATTTTTACTTTCCTGTAGGACAAAATTCAAATTTTCAAGATTTTTGGGAATAGTTGAAGTATCGGGGGGGTATTTTATAGGACAGGAAATTCATAAGATTTTTTCATTGAGTGTTTATAAAAATCGCAATAAAAACTTTTTTGTAACAAAACCACTTTTTTTTATTCTTAATTTCTATACATTTTAAGTGGGCAAGTCACTATAATTTTTGATCACCCTTTATATCAAACTATTGATTCTAATGCAATGTTATAGTTTTATCAGTCTTATATTTCTATCTACTATTTAGCAAACATTTAAATGTCAAGTGGCGCCATTTTTCATTACTGCCTAGGAAAAATCAAGGAAAACGAGAAAATATTTGAATGTCGCTACAGCTATGCTTCCAAATTTGATAGTAGTAAATCATTAAAAGATAAAAATACTATTCTTTGATTTTGCATAAATTTTGTATGATTATATTTTATTTATTAATGCATTATCGGTTCGTGTAAGCCAGCTTTGATTTTTTGTTCTTTTCTCAGAAACTATTCATATTTACACCAAAATACTACGAATTTAATCATGGTAGTCGGCGTTCTAGTGAAAAACCCATAATGCGAGTTATTTCACAGTTGGCAGTAAATGTGTTAGAAGATGTAACAATCAGATTATTAAAATTCAAACACTTAAAACAAAGATCTTCTCAAGTGTGTCATGACTTTGATTTTAATATTAAATCCTCGCTTTGAACTGACTGAGATTATTATATACTTTTTTTATTTAAATAGTTAATGAACCAAACACACCTTGCTTCAACAGTAGCAAAATTGGTCTTCTTCGGTCCTTTATGAGCTTGCACTCCCAATTCACCTAAGTTATGGTCATTTCCAACAACATTTATATTTGGAAAATAATCTTTTTCCATGGGAGAACTCAAATTTGAATTGCTACTACTGCCATTACTATCTCTTGCTTGAACTCTTGGATTGATGACTGCAATCACAAAAGGGCAGCTGGGAAAATGTCTCTGGTGCTCTCTGTCTGGGTCATCGCCTGGTTCCCAGGCTCTAACTATGCCTTTGCAAAAGGCACACTGAGTGTTATCACCTAAAACATGATCAGATTAATTAATACAGAATACATACATTTTTGAAAATTGGAAAACATTGTATATTTCAAATGTAGATTTTTAATTATTTTAACATATGGATTTAAGAAATAAATAGAAAAGCCGTAAATATTTTATATAAAACAGTTACACAGGATAAATCCCAATTACACAACATGATAATTTAGATGAAATAGTTTTGCATCAGCAGAAAAAATGTATCATTTTATACTTTTATGTAAATAATTCAAATTGATAAAAAAATATATTATCATTAGCATAGATAATTCATGGGTACTAATCTTATTAATAATGATCAAACATTAAATTGTTATTTCTGATTAATTAAACAAAAATATAATTTATCAAAACTTTAAATAACCTGAAAAATAAACAGAATAAAAATACATCTATTATTATTTATAAGTTAATAACAATAAATATATTTAAAATAGAATCGTTTTTTTTTTAATCCTGTTATTTAGATAATTTAATGTAGTGCTATTCTAACTAAGAGGCCTAATCATTAAAACTGGTGACTACAGTACACTCTAATCCAAAATGTTGTAAAATCTTTGACAGACCATCCAAAGTTAGGATTGTTAATGAACCTACAGGCCAGCTGAGAATGAAATACATGTAGCTTTCCTTTTAAATGATCTCTATCCATTGCCTTAGCCAACAACATCTAGCCAGCTAGATCTCATGTTTACTTATGAGCTATAACAAAAATTTACTTGTCATAATATGCACATGAAACAAGTGACTGAGAGGGCATTGCTTAAATGTATAATATAAATCACTCAAATTAACACAGATGCCCTATTTCATTTTCTAACTGCTTCTGAATTTAAATTTAATTCAAATATGGTAAATCCATTTAGACAGCGCCCCTTCCCTAATTCCGCCACTGTAAGTACAATGTATGCAAGAAAATCTAATTTTCAGATATGTAGATGGCTCCAAAATCAATGAAGATTTAGGTATAATAAGAATTTATAATGACAAGTACCTATCTTTTAAAAAGATGAAAACTATACTAGACAAATTTAGAAGTGGAAAAGGTTCCTGGCAATTTAATCTAGAGTGAATTTCCATGATAAAATGATCATAAAAATACTAATTTAAAATGTTTGTTTTAACTTACCATTACTTCTGCACCTCAGAGGTGAAGTGTACTATGTCATTCTAGTAAACTTTTTAGTAGAGCAGATTGAATGTTGTTTGGACACTTTTTGAGCTACATAATGACATATTATATTTCAACAAGAAATACAGTTAGACACCCAACTATTATCAAAATTATTTATCTATTCTTTACTAATCTAACTAATAAAACTTTCTATTTTTATTTGCATAAACTGTTGGTTTTTATGACATATTTCCAGGTTCTCATAGAAATTTTAGAGACTAACATGAGTTAAAAACACTATGTGCACATGGCATAGTTTACCACATAAGTTTATTAATTATAGTGTTATATTTGTCTAACTTTTTTTGTGACCTTACTCGTGTAGTATATTCCTGGAAAGGTATCGATGAGCAAAGTTCAAAAATATAACTTTTATAAAACTGTACTATGTCGACATAGTGCGGTTTACCTCTGAGGTACAGATGTATTATTTAAAAAATATATTTTTATCTTCTACTTATAACTAAACTGGATTTGATTAAAACACATTCTTACCATCCTTAAGGTAGTAAAAGCCAGCAGTAACCAAACTTTCAGGTGTAACAATATCAGAAGCAGGCCAATTCTCAAATGAAGCCAATCTTAGAGCAAACGATTCCCTATACATGTTTATTGAAGTGGAAGGTACATGTGTAGGTGATATAATAGGAACATTTCCTGAGGTAGAGGGGTTTACTATGAAGGGACATGAGGGGTTTAAAGCTATATGTCTATTCATCACTTGGTCACCGTAATTCCATTCTGATATTTTTACATGACACGAAAAACATTCCACTTCCATTCCTTGTTTTGTGGAAAAAAATCCTGCCTTTGCTATCCTTCGAGGACTTACTTCTGCGCCAGTAGGCCATTCGTTAAATGTTAGGAGACGGTTCACTTCTTGATTCATTTTGAAATAGGTATGATCATGCTAAGTAACTGACTAAATTGATAATCTTCATTGTATTCTCTGGTTGGGTAGTAAGTAACATTTTGAACACAAAACAGTTTAATACTGCACCATTTGATCTTCTTACACTTAATTTGATTAAGTTTTTGATTTCTTGTGTACGGCTCGGGCTCAGCAGCTGATGACAGCAATATATTGAATTTGACGTATTTAATCATACGTCAAGTCAGATGACACAGAACCACAAAACGTTATATTTTTGACAGTCAACATTGCTTGTCGACGTTGCCAAGCGTTATCTATGACCAAGTGGTTCGTTTGGGAGTAAGTTCCGAATTGTTGTTCATGGATAGAGAGATCGGTTTTTATAATACTTGTCTGTAGATACATTTTTCTATGGTAGATACAGTGAATGGTTTCGATTGGTATATCCCAAAAAGTAAAACAACAAAACAAAATGTATGACATGAGAAAAAGAAAGTATTTGATAGGCTGGCCTATGGAGGGTAACCCTCCATAGGCTGGCCCAAGGCGCATATGGAATAATTTCTGAAAAAAAAGGCCTAAACGTTACATACGACCATTTTAAATATATAAAAAATACGCCTTTTATTCTATGACATAGAGCACTGCAGACAGACTTATACATTGATAAAATTATTTTTAACTATGGGCAGAGCTATATCAAGCTAGGCACTCTGTGGTGGCACCACACAAGACATGGTGTTTTTTTTTTGTAGCTTTTTTATAGCTTTTTCTTACGATATTTGCGAATTTGTAGCTTGAGAAAAATAAAAAGAGAAGGTTAGAATACATGGCGGGACTTGCTTCCTTGTTTGTAGTTCAACCAAAAGTGCTTAGCGCGCTGCTATCATTAAATTTATACCTGTTTACACCCATAAAATCTAATTTTTCAAAAATATTGAAAAAGAAATCAATATTTTTACTGATTTAAGGGTCGATTCCACCGTTGTGTTAAACGGAGATTAAAATGATATTGATGTAAAAATGTCATTTTAATCTCCGTTTAACATAACGGAGGAATCGGCCCTTAATAGGCACAACGCAACAGCCCCAAGAGCTTTATTTTCACTAGAATAATGCATAGACATAATGTGATTGGCCATTAAAAAATGATCTATATGTTAATGATAAAAGAATATTTTCAATTCAACAAAAGTAAAAATAAGAAATCAACAATAAAAAATATTTAAAAACAAATGTCCGATATTGAGATAAATTTAGATATTGGCTGGAAAATGGCCACAATGCGTGAATTACAGTGACTTTATATTAACAGTGGCGACAATAGAGTGTTCTCTTTTTGATTGGATGACAGAGTCACGTGGTATTATCCGCCATGTTGCATCGAAAATAGTTTGTGTCTATCACTGTGTTTACGGAGTTTATTTGTTTTCTTGACGATTTGTGTTAAACTATAAAAGTTTTGGTAGTTTTAAGTGAACATTATTTGCCCTGTGTAATAAACTTTAAATATCTGTGTTAATTTGGTTGTCTGGAATTGTTATATTACAGCAAATCTTGGAAAATTTACTCACCTGTTAGTGGTAAGGATTGTTTTAAAAATACATACTGAAAATTTCTAGCTTTATATAGTATTATAAATGACTTTAAATAAATTTTCGATATTTATATAAAGCCTATATTTAGCAAAAGGAAAATACATTGAAAATAGTTCATTTGTTTTCATGTTTTAAGGTTGAACGTCATCTGCGAAACAAAAATGCCTGGGTGTGCTGCAGTTAATTGTAGCAATTCTTCCGAAAAGGGGTTTCTGATGAAACGTTTCCCAAGGGACCATGATAAATTCAAAAAAATGCGAAAGTTCAACAAAGCGACTAGCAAGTAAAACTGTAGCTGGACATTTATTGTAATTAGGGTTATACTATTTCGAAGTAATGTTTGTAATTAATAAGTACTTTTAGTTTGTATAGTTTAGTTTGTAAATAATAAATATATTTACAATTAGTTTTTTTCGGTTTACTTTTCGTACCTATCTTTAAAAATTTATTTAGATATAAGTAATACTTTTCGTTAAATATAAGCCACGTTTGTAAATAATAAGTGTACTTTTAGTTTGTTTAGTTTGTAAATAATAAATATATTTAGTTTTTTTCGGTTTACTTTTCGTACCTATCTTAAAAAAATTATTTAGATATAGGTAATACTTTTCATTAAATAGAAACAATGCTTTTGAATAATAATTGTACTTTTACTTCATTTTTCCGGTTTGCATTTCCTGCCTATCTAAAAAAAATTATTTAGATATAAGAATACTTTTCGTTAAATAGAACCATGTTTTTTTAATAATAAATGTAATTTTAGTTTGTTTTTTGTTTGCTTTTCCTACCTATCTCAAAAAAATAATTTAAAATTAACACTATTATACACACTCAGTCTCAAAGTTTAATTGTAATTATTTTTGTCCTATATGCTACTGTCTCTAAATTATTAAAAAAATTCTTAATATTTTATAAATACATTGTTATTTTACGTAGATCTGTGTTTTTTTAATTTTTTTCCCCCAATTTACTATTTCATTTGTAATCTACAAAAAAGAAAAGAAACTATAGTTATAAGCCAAACTATATTAAAGTTCATTATTTTTTTTAATAATTTTAACCTTTATCTTCACAGAAAATATTTTGGTATTACTAATTTAACTAAAGTGCAAAATTTTACACTCTTTAGTCTTTTTACACACGATTTTTTGCGTAAGATTTCTTTAAAAAAAATACTTAAATTATGCTTTTATTTGAATTTCGATGCAACATGGCGGGTGGGCGGAGCTTAGACGCTATTGTCGCCACTGTCTTGTTAGAGTCACTGTAGCGTGAATGAAACATTTGCGCCATCTATCAACAGATAGTCACACTTTCAAATTGCACCTATTATGGCATAGATGGCGCCACATTATTAAAATAGATTTACTAAAAAAGAAAATATGTAATTATATAAAAAAAGTTTTTTATTTATAGCCATGCTTATATTAAAGTGCACTTTTTAGTACAAATAGTACTTTTTAGTAAAGAATAATGATGCTCAGGCTCTTTAGATTAGGGAAATGTGATATGAGTAGATGGAAATCGATAAAATTTTGAGGCGATCTGCTGCTATCTATCAAATTGGAGTAGTACCAAATTCAATATGGCCACCAGAGGCGGGCTTTTTGAAATGTAACTTTCTGCCAGCTAGGCGAAAATCAAACAAAAAATTAACTGTTTTATTTTGATTAGTTTCAACCTTTGCGAGGGCAATCAGTCACATTAAAATGGCTCTAGGCCGCACATGTTAGGTAAATTAATCGAGTATAAAAAAAACTTAATTAATATACCTATCCTGTGTGAGAGTAATCAGTAAAATTTAAATGGCTCCAGGTCGCACAGGTTAGGTAAATTAGTTAAGGTTTCTTTTTACATCGGATACATTTGAGATATTGTAAATCTTTGATACATGATTATTTAAAATACGTAAATGTAGTAGGACAGATGTGTCCGATGTGGATGAACCACAGCTTATTCTAAGCTGTGGATAAACAAACTCTCGAAATATAAAAAATGCATTGAATGTGGATATTCAAATGCTAGATCTGGCAGCACTGGCTGGCAGTTTCGAGTTTTGACTCGACAGCATTAAAACATAACCTCACTTTTTCATTGTTACAATTTTTTATTTTTGTTTTTCTATTTACATTAAATTAATATTTATAATCTTGTTGTCCGTTGGTTCTGATTATTAGTAATTATTGTTTGTAGATAGGTTAAGAGGTCAAAGTCTGTTGTTACTAAGAGGGGATTAAATTTATCAGTTTGCTTTTGGTATTTTAATTTAGTACAGACTTTATTTACTTTAGCGGAAACTTTGTCCTCTTCGGAAGTGTTTCTTTAACACTTTTTAATACTCTAGACTTACGAAAATGAGCTCCAAACCTCTTATGGTATTTATTTTATTTAAAATTTATATAATAAATTATAATATCCAAAATTATTTTCAGGTAATTCAAATAAGCAAGAGACTTTACAGTTCTGCTTCGAAGAAAGATGTTGTTATTATTTCTGCCGTAAGAACCCCAATGGGTCCCTTCCTGGGATCTATGGCGCCCTTAACAGCACCCAGACTGGGTGCTATTGCTATTGAAGCAGCTGTTGAAAGAGCTGGTATTCCTAAAGAAGAAATTAAAGAAGTGTTTATGGGCAATGTGTGCCAGGGAGGAGTAGGACAAGCTCCTGCTAGACAAGCTACAATTTTTGCTGGTAAGATTTTTAATACACTTAGGTGAATCAGCCATATAAAATTGAAGCTTTCAGCCTATTATAATCCTCCCATTCAATTTTATATGTGTGCAGATTTTAATATGTAATAAATAATATAATAATAAAAACAGTATCAATCAAGGTTTAAGAAGATAAAGAAAAAAAAATTATAAAATGACAAAGAGATTTAAAAATATACCTATATATAAAAATATACTTTTCATAGAGCTTCATCTCCAGATACCATAGGGCACAAAATCTTGATTACACTGTAGTCTCAAGGCTTTTTATGCTGCTATTTGAGAATGCTACTGCTGTATTCATGTACTTCACACCTTAGATATTAGACTAAGATCTCACTTAACTAAGATGTGACCAGATGGTTACTGCTACACTGAAGGAAGGTTATATACCTTCTAAAATAAATCGACTATGAAGACTAGAGAGAAGGAGGCGAATCGGCAAGGCAGATACGGGAATATACATTCTTTAATTTTGACCTTTCACTTTTTATTTTGCTAATAGTACCATCAGTAAAAATAATATTTGGAAATATCTTCTAAAAAGTATATCTTGCAAACAGCAACATCTCTAGAAAGTGCTTTACCAGCCCTGGGAATGATATGCTGCCACTGTCCTAAAAGTTTAGAATTCTATAAAAAACATTTACAATGACTTGGGTTCAACAAAAAAATAATAGTAGTAACTCTTTATCTAATAATAAAATACTTGATTTTCTAGTAAGTAAAATGTGATGTGTAAAATTTTTGTTGTTTGTAAGTGAGGATTTATGACTGTAAAATTTTATATTATAGAAATTTGTAATAAAATAAAACACAATAAAACAACAATAAAGATAAATAATTTAATTTACTTACACTGGGAGCTTTAAAATACTTTTAACCACTTAATGTTCACATTTATTTTGATTTTTTTTTTATATGATCGGATTTTTTAAAGTGAAAACTTAGGGTTTATACTTATTAAAATAAAAAAAATATATTTTTAGTGTTGTAGCAACTGTACTATACTTAGTGTAGAAAATTATAATTTGTATTTTCTTAAATATTATTTGTTTATGCATTACACATCCTTAAGAGGTGAATGTATACATATTATACAAATGTATAATGGGCTTATAAATTATACTTTACCTTAATAGCTATCAGTGGCGTACTGAATATTTTTTTTACTAGCAGAGACAAAATTAGTTCGAAAATATTTTATTGACATTTATGTAGAAGTATTTATTAGAACACGCTTGCATCTGAAATGAGCGAACAAAAATTTGTGAATAAATTTAATGGTTGCCCATGTCCCAGTTGAGCGCATACAAAATTGCCAGTTAGATGTGCTCATCTCTAACAAGGGCATGTACGTTCAGTGGTTAATTGATTTGTCCTTGTTTTCTTTAGTTTTACATTTGATTTATATCCCGTTTTATAACCTGGAACGAAGTAAATCTTGCTCACGCATGTTACTTGTAGTCAGGTACTTTTTTCACATTATTTTGATTATTTTCACAATTTTTTTTAAAGAACTATTTATTTCACATTGACCTATATAGAAAATTAACCTTATTAACGTTCGACCCGCCATATACAATCAATTTGGCAATCGACTTTAGACATTTATTTAATATACAGTATGTTAACCTATGAATCCCAAGAAATAAAAATGAGACCCTTAATTATTATATTTGGAGGTAAGGAAAATAAAGAAAGACACTTGTTTAACAATGCCCTTTCGATGACAAAGAGGGGACACTGCTGCCCATAGTCAGTGATCATAGCTCAGCACAAATTTCAGTACTCCACTAACTGTTTTGGGGTGTACCTTAATTGTTGTTTAATATGGCGAGAGTTACGTAGTTAAAAAATAAATGGCATTCAATTACGTAATTCAAAAAATTCAAATAGGTACTTTCAAGAAATAAAACGAATTCTAAAATTAAATAAAAGAATTTATTATTTTGTCAGTCTGAGACTCGCCTGTATGCCTGCATGATTGGACGTTTAAAAACATAGTTATAGAGAAAGTAAAAGTTGAAAAGTCTTTTGGTAGGTAGAGAGGGGGTAAACGTCAAACCACGTCGGGCGGCTCCGAGAATTTCACAGTAATGTTTACCTGCCAGTGTCGTTTCATAGAATAAGTAATTTTAAATTGTTATCAGCGGAACCGGACAATCGCATGTATTTATGGATTATAAATAATTATTAAACATGTATTATAATATTCAAATTATAATTTTACAAAATTTCAACAGCTATTCACAATTTATTAAACTATTTACTCGAAATTGTTATTAACATCTATAAAATAATTTTGTACGCCAATGTATCGCGTCCACTTCGGTGAAATCCGCTGCCAACCTGTCAATTTATGTGTATAAAGTGGGAGAACTGGCAAAAGCATTTCCAACTTTTACTTCTGTTCTACACATCTACCGCTGTAATTGGATAGCAGGTATCTATTTCTCTCTATTCAATGTTTTTGTTTTACTAGACCATTCTCCAATATTAGACATTCCAAACAAAATGGCTACCAGTGGGTTTTGACCGGTTATGATATGACAGACCTGTAGGCCTGGTGATTTGACAGGTTAATGATATAGATAGTTATGTAGATTGATCATCCATGTTTTTTCAAAATAAACATAAGCTTATGCCTTGAATTAAAAATGTAGGAAATTATTTTGTTTACTACATTCCACACATTTTTGCTAAATCGATTCTAATTAATGACCATTTGCGAGGCAATATGACCCTCGCAAACGACCCGCTTTGAGCAATCTTTATAAATATACCCTGTGTTCAAATTAAAGTGTTACAGTTAAATACCGCCGAAAATATGCATTTTATAAAAAAAAGTTTCAGATAAAAGTTTTATAGTATTTTGGGGGAAACATTTTGGCGAAATTAATTTTTTTATAGCAGACCATAATATGGCCGTATCGAGGTGGACTTTTTTATTTCAAATTGGAACCCCATTTTTTCTAATATTCTAGTTTGTCTTAGTTTAATATTCACATATGTCTTATATTCACATTTGGGAATAAATAATAAGAGAAATAAATACATATCTACCTGTTAAGTTAAATATGTATTCCACTGGAACCATTTTTCCAAAATGTCAATTAGTTGAACATGAATAAAATTTGAAAATTCTCAAAATAATTGAAACTTTGCTATTTTCTTTTTAACTTATCAAATTTTGGAAAAGTGGATCCTTAGGAACACCACAGATTTAACCTACACATACATATTTTTCGCCAACGAACGGTATTCGCTCTTGGTTTCTAAACATTCGTTGGCCGTCGTTGTTGCATTTGTTGTTTGTTCAATCGTTTGTTGGGGCACGTATCCGGATTGAATGTTCATTTTGATATGATACGCGAAAAAAAATGGTTCAATTTGTTCGTTGTTACTTTTACTTGTATGAACATTCACTCGTATCGCCGAATTCCTTTGATACCGCTACGATTCGGCTTGTCGGCAAATGCCAATGAATCAGATCTGGCGATGGATACCGAATGTCGAATGTTCATTGACCTTCGAAGAAACGTTCATATTGCATTCGCTCTCTGTAGCAAACGTTCGTTGGACGCGAAACCGCAAATATCGATGCGCTAATGGATGACGAAGTTATTATTGTTTGTGCAGCATTTATACTTCTCAATGAAGAAGGAAAGAACAAAACCAAAGCGCAAATGAAGGTGGTTGACGACGACATCATTTAAAAAACTAAATACCTATACCAGAGCTATAAATTAAACGCATATTTCATCGCTCTACGAATCTTCGTTGGCCTTCGCTAAACTTCCCAAACTGAACAAAAATCCTATGTTATGATACTTATGCGTACAGTCTGTTCGCTATACTTACGCGGGTTTCGGATTAACAAAATTATGCAAATTAGTCATTGACAACCAGTTCCATAAGCCTCTTCCCAAGAAATTAGGTAAAATTGCCCTAATGGTCAGATTTAAATTAAAATAATATTAGGGTAGGTACTAAATTTGTTACAAATATTAATTAATTTAATCCGAAACCCGCGTAATTATAGCGAACAGACTGTATATAACATAGGTATCTGTGTTCCTTGAGTGAAGAAAATCTGCAAAATCGCCGGTAGTCAAAGATATGAACGGTTAATATCGACCATTTTTCATAAACCACATGACAACAGAGGTCTATCAAAAACCACAAGTTGAGTTTAATTACAACTGGAGTTAATGAAATGAACGCCTCAATTGCCCAAGTACATTCTTTTAATGCCATTTTTGCAGTGTTATAAAAGAAACGCATAACAATCATTAAGGCCCGTATTTATAAACAAAACTCAGCTGAGTCGGACTTGGATAAGTCGTCCTTGAACGAAAATCGAAGTTCGGTTATATCGCGTGCATTTAGAGATGGGTAGTAACAAATCCGTAAATGTACATAACAGTTACTTATTTGCTAATACCTATCTCTAAATTCCAGTTTAACACCAGAACCACCTAGAACTTTAGAGACGTTGTAACCGAACTTTGATTTTAGTTCAAGGACGACTTACCCAAGTCCGACTTACGTAAGTTCTGTTTATAAATACGGGCCTAAACCTCATCTGTAATAGGCATTGAGATAGAATAAAGAGGAGATGCTAAGACGATGCTAAATTGTCCGCACTTTTGTATTATATTTTTACGTCAATGTTAAATTCGAGATAATGTAGCTGGTCAGTTTTGGTGAGAATAAATGCCATTTTTCTTTAAATAGTTTCATATAATGATATAAAATTATTTTCATTTAGTCAGTCTTTAAATATAAAATTATTGACTTCAAATAAATCAAAGTACGACTCAAGTCGCCATTTTGATTACACTTTTCCGTCACTTAAAGTGAGTCCATTTTGTCATATCGCAAAATAGTGTTTATGTCGTCTCTATTTTATACTATCTCGATGGTAATAGGTATCCAAATTTTGGTAATAATGTAAAAACACATCAATTAGTAGTTGTGCATTTTTTCGTGATCGATTTCACGAAACTATAACGTCATTAATATATTTTTTTTTTAAATTGAACACCTAATATATTAAAAAAAGTTAGTCCCTTTAAATGCAAATTCTAATCCTAATAAATAAGTTTTTAAGAAAATTATACCAAATGTCGTTACAGCTTCATGAAATAAAACAAGAAAATCTAAGGCCCGTATTTATAAACAAAACTCAGCTGAGTCGGAGTTGGGTAAGTCGTCCTTGAACTAAAATCGAAGTTCGGTTACAACGCCTCTAAAGTTCCAGGTGGTTTCGGTGTTACACTGGAATTTAGAGATGGATATTAGCAAATCTGTAACTGTTACGTACATTTACGAATTTGTTACTACTCATCTCTAAATTCACGCGATATAACCGAACTTCGATTTTCGTTCAAGGACGACTCAGCCAAGTCCGACTCAGCTGAGTTCTGTTTATAAATACCATGGAGGTAGAAGGTAGGGAGACGCTATGCTAGGGTTTCCGATCTCGGCAAGAAAGATCGATTCTTAGTATCGATCCAAATGGTGGAGCCAAAGATCGATACAAGAAAAATCGGGAGGAAAAAATATCGATCTCGTAAAGATCGAAGATCGATTCTTTTTATGTAAAATATAAAATTAAATTTAATTAATAAAAAATAGACAAAAAATTTAATCTTTATTTTAAATATAAACATTGTTTGGAACTTAAAATTGTTAATATTCAAATTCTAAGATTTAAAACTATTCAAAAATACGAGTTTATTTGACATTTTTCCACTTTTTCTATCAGGAGTAATCAGATTTCCTGTTCGAAAAAATAGTCGGATGGAATTGATGTTCCTAACACACATAAAGACTTTTGAGCAACTTTGTTTAAATTGTTGAAAAGAATTTGACTATCTATGCCAATATTTAATAGGATCTGTTGTCTTCAGATTCGAAAGAGGTTCATTTACGCTTTACGAGAATACTCAAATATCCACAAAACACTCTCACATTACTCAAAACGGCGATAACGATCAGTGAATTTATTCTTTTGACGTTTATGGTAACCACAAAATACTCGAAAAGTACATGTAAGAGGTGGGCTAGAATCGATCTCCGATCTCAGTACTTTCCATCGATATATAGATCGATCTCCATTTTGAAAAATCGATCCTAAAAAATCGAAATCGTGAAACAAAAGATCGATTCTCGATAAGATCGTATCGAGATCGGAAACCCTACGCTATGCGGCTATGAGCATCTTTTTCAAACCTTCAAAACGGTATCACTTAGTCGTGGTGACAGTCATTCCAATATGGCCGTTCTGCCAGGGCCGGACTATTGGTAATGCAACTCAAACCCTAATTTGCTTTTTTAATTAATTGTAAGTTATAAATTAATTGTCATAAAACGGATAATTATTAACAGTTTTAATAAAAGTATTAAGAAATTATTAAAATGCAAGTAAAAAGAGACTTTCTGTAACATAGTTAAAAAAAATAAATAAAAATTCCTCATTTCATTTTATGTCACTGTTTATCAGTTACGGTTTAACATAAAATAATCAAACCGTTGTTAAGGTATTAATAGAAAATATATTACGGCAAAATCAATATCCAATATAAAAATTATGTTTATTGACCCTTAAACAATACAATTTTATTATTGTGATGTCATGCTATCACATTTTTTTATTTTACTTTTAATAAGGTAACACATCCTAATGTTTGTGTATTTGGTAGCTAAAGCTTTTATTAACAGAACTCTATGGTTATCCAATGGATCCTGATCAAAACCGTGGGCTATCAAATTTGCAAATATATTTTTATTTATAAATGACTTTAACACTGAAGATACAATAGAGTCTACAGAATTAAGATGATAATTCGAACTAACAGTTCTCTTTTTGAGTATTTCTTCACATTGCAGACAAACGTTTATCACATCCACAGAGGGATACTGTAGGCTCTTTATTTTTTTTTGTCTATAAGTGAAAATATTTGTAGGTCTTTCTGGTCTGCACATAAAGAATTTACGCATCCCTCACAAATAAGCTTTTTTTTTAAAGAGAATATAGTATAGCCAGCAATATACGTTACAATATATTTTGTAAATTCCGATAGCGTAGGGTTTGGTAAATAATCATGATCATGCTCAGTATTATCTAGCACACTGTAGTAATTTTCTGATAAACCAAGAGCCCTGTAGTCTCTAGAAGATTCGTTAATTTGTTGAACGGGACATTTTAAAATTCGGAGCTCCTCTAGCGGAATACAATTTTCACGAAAACTTTCACGTACTTCGACATGTACTAATATTTTCTTATAAGCTGCCTGAAATTGTCGGGCGGTGGGGTTATTGTTGTGGCCTCCATGTGAGCGAATGCAGCCAAAGAATAATTCTATGTGGTCTTGAGATATTTTATATATTGGTAAAAACTGTAGAGTGTTGGAAGAAATATACTTATCCATGTCATTTAAAGAAGTTTCTATACTTTCATATTTTTTTAAAGACAAATGCTTTTTATAATGAAACTGAAGTAAATTTATAGAATTTAAGATAACAAAGAGAATATTTATGATTATTTTAAATCTAATTTTTGCACCAACTGCAACAAATTCTCTCATTTTTAATTCATCTTTACAAAACCCTAATATGGTTACAACACATTCACTCAAAGCACAATAAATATCTCAAATACGACCCTGCACATTGTTTACTATGTTGTATATTTAGTTGTGGAATGTTATTTCAGATCAATTCTTCATATAAATATCTATTAGGTTGCTAAAAATACGTTTAGCACAAGCAACCAATGTTTAATTTTTAATATGTACAATATATAGTTTGCAAACGACTTAAAAATTGAAAAACCGTTCATTGAAACCACGATTAGCTGTTTGAAGTATTTGTCAATCTAATATGGCGGAAGTGAACCCGTCTTGGACCACGTGACAGCGTCTCCCTACCTTCTACCTCCATGATAAATACGGACCTAAAATAAAATCATTTTAAAACTACTTAATTAACTTGTTTTTTCATTTTTTACAAATTTTAATTATAGAATGTTTTATAAATTTTATTTATTTCCTTTGGGACATTCAGTAGGTATGCCTCTACTCTTTTATAAAACGTTCATTACTTTTAATTTCTAAATATGTAGGACATTTTAGCTATATTACATTACCTTAATAATAAACAAAAAAATTTAAAGAATAAATTTCCTTCTATAGATTGTGTTTTTTTTTATATTTTTTATTTACAAAAAAAAAACATTAAATTAATATTCAATTGAAATAATTTTCTTACGATGTAGTCACAAATACAGTGCAAAGAGATTTGTCAATGTTGCCATATCTTAACAGATAACAAGTATTCTTGAAATAGGTACACATTTCATCTTGTTTGGCATTAAACAATCAAAACTATATTCCAAATAGAATGTGTGAAATCCGTACTGGAAAGAAGTCGACTCGCTTGGTTTTCGATCTATCAACGAATGCGTGAACTATAACTAGAAAAACGTATTGCCGCGTATATTATTTGAAGTTTCGGCTTGTATCAATCCATTTTCTTCGTTAGTACATCGATTTGAGAATTGATTTCAGCGTGATTGTAATTGATTTTTAAAAGACTATTTGCTTGTCTCCTTAAAAAATATTTTATTTTTTTATATTTGTTTAAATTATTGTTTATTAGCGTCAGCAACTGCTCTGATTTATTTTAAAAATGTCTACTAAATCTTAGGTCGTTATCTTTAATTGTTTTCAAATTCATTTGGAACTAAAATTAAATGCAATTTAACTCTCGCTTTAAATAGATAGTATAGCAAGCGGCACTGCTGATTAACTGCTTTTAAAATCATTACAAACCATTATTGGAGAATTAAATAAATATAATAATACTTAATTATAGTAGTTTTTTTTGAGCAGAATATTGACTATCAATATCACAAACACTGCTAAAGGCAGCTTACTGCAATTTTTCATTATAAAACCTAACTTCAAAACCCATAAATTATGTTACTGTGCTTAACAAAAGTTATTATTTTCTTAAACCTTACTCATAAAACCTTTACTAATGTTTTATAGCACACAGATGTTTTTTCTAGGTCTTCCAAAATCTACAATATGTACAACCGTAAATAAAGTATGTTCTTCTGGCATGAAATCTGTTATGTTTGCTACTCAAAGCCTGCTATTAGGCGACCAAGATGTAATTCTTGCTGGAGGTATGGAATCAATGTCAAATGTACCTTATTATATGAAACGAGGTCAGACACCTTATGGAGGAGTAAATTTATCAGATGGCGTAGTCTTAGATGGACTGTGGGATGTATACAACAAATTCCATATGGGCAACTGTGCCGAAAATACAGCTAAAAAATTAAATATTTCCAGACAGCAACAAGATGAGTATGCTATCAATAGTTACAAAAGGAGTGCTGAAGGTTATAAAAATAATGTATATGCTTCTGAATTGGTGGCTGTCAATGTTCCACAGAAAAGGGGTAAGAAATTTGAATTAAAATTCTAATCTAAAGAAAGTTATAAACAATACTTAGGTATAGTAAAGAATCCCATTGCAAAATGTTGGGTAAATCACTAGTATGGCTAAATTTTTATGGAGACGTCCAATAGTAATTCGTCAGCAGCCGCGCCAATATCGTTTGCGTTTTAGGTTATTAAAAATTATAAACAATTTAAAACTTTTGTGATTTTTCGGTTTTTTTTTGTCTTTTTTGTTTTTATTTTTAATTAAGTATGTTAAAACGTCTTTGTAAATCTAAAGTAGAGGATAAAGTAAATAATTTTCAATATAGCCAAATAAATAAAGAGTCTTGCCATTTTGTTGTTTACTGCAATTTATTTACCTCACACATTGATGTTAACGACGTGCTTGAAGAGCATGTCGCAATCTATTACTCAATGTATTTCAAAAAGTATTATACACATGAGAAAAAGTTTTATTTTACATTTCACAAAAAAAAAGATAAAACGTGTTCTGCATCATTTAAAATTAAAAAAATTCCAAAACACACTTTAGCATTGATTGTGGATTATTTTTTATTGAATCGGCGATCGGAAGGCAAGCCTCGATACTTTCGATATATCGATATATTTGGAGATATCGATATTTCTTATGATAAATTATTTATTTATATTTAAATGAAAACTACTCAAAATAAAATTGTCTATGTAAAAAACTTAACAAAGGAAATAGAATAATGTACACCAGCACACGTATTGTTACGCCTGTGTTCTACCACATAATTGACAGCTGACACTGACAAATTTTTTCAAGCTTTAAATGTAAAATACCCTAAACTCAGTAGAGTTTTTTACCTTACGGGTACAACATGGTATCTAAATGGCATGAAAGTAGATAAGAAAAACCAAAAACGGCCTCTTTATGTGACCCGATATGAAAATGATGATTATGTAAATAAGTCACCGATTCACCGGCCTCTCACATATCGATATATCGAAACGAAAGTATCGATGCAAAAATATCGCAAGTCGAAACAAAAATATCGATATTTATGCTATATCGATACCTATAACGTGTGCATCCCTATCATCAGAGTCTTTCTCTCACCGAAAGAAACAACACCATTTAACTTTGCTCAACGATTTGAATCAACGGCTTGTCTACGCCATGTTAAAAATTATCGTATTTTTTTACTTTTAACGTTAAATACAGGCTGTGATGCATATTCTTCAAATAATTGTATTTTAATAGTAACTGCACCAATAATTGACACTATTAAAGTCTATTCAAATTTAATTTACGCCTGATGTAAACAGAAGCAGGTGGACGCTAAAATTGAGCAGGGCCGTATTTTACTTTTCCGTCTTGCAAAAATGTAAAATAAAAGAGTGTAATTGTGAAATAATTTTTTTATTACGATAAAAACATATTTTGTAAAGTAAAACTATAAAATAAATGCCATACACGGTCTCCCAGACTTTAGTGACATTTCTGGACGAAGATAGGTGAGCGAAATAAATTGCGTTAACCTGCAATACAAATTAATAAATGTATTTGACTTTAAAAGAGATGGTTGCATTATATTTAGTTCATTACATATGTCTACTGTGATACAGAGCATTAAAACAATCATATTATAAAATTATATTGTACAGGGTGTCCAAATAATTGCAAATTCTTTAATAGCTAATATATATCTACTAAAAGCATTAAAAAAACTTTAAATATAAGATGTATTTGGTATTTGAATTTGGTATTTGATTTAAAATTGTGCATCTTAAAAAGAAACCTTTTGTATTTTTGATAACTTTTGTTCTTTATTGTTCTTGTTCTACTAGTATTTAGATTAGACAACGTGTACCCTGTATTATAGCAATCTTCCTTACTTGGCTTAGCACATATTCTGAATCGGATAAATTAGTTATTGAAAGGCTATCTTCATTAATCAAAATTACAAGTGGTTCTACCTGAACCTCTATAATATTATCCAACTCCCACATTTTTACTTCAACTTTTTGGCGAACATGGTCGATTCACTTTTTCCATTTTTCTGGAGAAATTAATAATATTACTTCTTCAAAAAGAATTTTAATGTCTCCAGATTTAAATGTTGAGTTTTTATCTGCTACGTATTGTTTAACGTCAACCTAGATTAATTCAATAGGGTTAAGTTCACAATGATACGGAGACATGTGAAGTATTATGTTGTTTTGCTGCTTAGCCATTTCATCTATTACATAACATACCTATCATAATGTTTATGTTGCTTACCAAGTTTTAGAAGTTGGATCTTAAGCATTTGTTAGTCGAATTCAATTTTTTTACCTTATAGCCATTTTTAAATATCACCTTTTTTAGTGGTCGTAGATATTTTTTCCAGCTTTCTCGAATAATAATGCAGTTATCTTCTAATTTTGGTAGGGTGTTTGAAAACCACTCTTTGAACGATTCTCCACACATTTCTTCATGGTAGTCACTGGATTTTTCAACTCAAATACATAAAGTGCATTAGAGACAAAGCCTTCTTCACTTCCAATATGGCATATAATGAGCTGTTTTTACGCACATACCTGATGGGTTTTTAAAACCAGTTAAAAGTTCATCCAAAAAGACTTGTCTGGATGAAAAACCGACATATCGAAACATACTTTTGATTTGGTGTGGCCTGCGTTAATCCAAGTCTCATCAAGATAATATATTTTTTGCTTTTCTTCTCTGTACCGTTTTATTTTTTGTGGCGTAGGACGAAACAATCCCATTTTTGTCTAAAAGCAAACTATTTTTTCCTCGAGTTTTAAATTTAAAATTAAGGGTTTTGAAAAGCTTGTAAAATGTAGCTCACTTAAAAGTAGACAAATATGGATCATCGTTGACTTCTTATAAAACCTTATCAATTGTTGGAAGTTAATTTCTAAAGAAGAATTGATGTACTTTGCGCCTTATTGCATTTTTATCAAAATCATCCACATAGCCACTAATTTGTTTATAACGTAGCTTTCTTTTTGGTTCAGAAAATTTATGAATCTGCCTATACTCCTTCATAACATTAAAAACGGTTTTAGCGCACATCCCTGTTTTATCAGCAACTCTACTTTCAACATCATGTACCAACATATCAGGGTTCTATAAAATTTAATGCTTATAAATATTAAGAACCATTTCTTTAGTACGGATGACCAAATGTCCCTTTTTCAGTCGCTTTTTAGAAGAAGTAAAAACATTTTTCTGGACTTCATCTGCTGTATCTGTGGAGGACATAGTGTCACGCAGCAATTACAAAATATAGTCAATTAAATGTCCATAAAATAGAGTAAAACATGTTCAAACTAACAACAACCACAAAAACAAAACAAAAATAACACAATATATGTATATCTAAACTATAATATAATGAATTATAATCAATCAAACATACAAAATGTCCAAACTAACCAACACGGTGAATGCTACCAAAACGCCGTTTATAATTATCCAAATTGAACTGAATTCGACTCTGACAAAAAATATTTGCGCGTCGTCTAAATGACTAACGACCGATTAACCAATAGAAGCGCAAAAAAATGCTACGTGAGCTGTTGCTGGATGGGAGAAATTGTTTTGACGCGGCGTAAATGAAATCTGAATAGACTTTAGACGCTGATTTGTATTAAATAATAATTATTATTAAATACGATTTTTTCTTGTAGCTTATAGTTTCTTGAGTTCATTAGTTATGTATTTTTAGTTCTAATAATTTTGCTTTTCATGAAATAAATATTATAAAAAAAGTGTTTTGAAGTACCAGTCATTGACACTTGATTTTTTTTCATGTACCAGTAATTGACACACCAATTATTGACACAAATTAAGGAACATTTTTTTATTATACTTTTAATTTTGAATACACTAAGTAAATAAAAATAAACAGCAAATTCGTAACGCAAAAAATAAAAACAAAAAATGAAAATTTATGGGTGCTTTAGGCTTCAAAAATATCAATATTTTTTGAAAATACATATTTTATTCTGTCGCCGACATTGTGTAGTTCCGGTTGGGATAACTTTTTTATGATATCCTCTATCTTGATTGTTGAAATATCACTATCAACAAGTTTGAAGGTATTCGTTTCATTTGTTGATTTAAGGGATATAACGTCAATATCATTTCGGGAATATTTCTTCTGAACCACACAGATATACCTATAAAAAAAGTTTTTCTCTTTCCTCCTAAGAATTTCGTTAAATAAAATCTACATGGATATCGTCGTATTTAATTGGTATTTCGTTCTCTTCTTCATTTTCTAAATTGATACTGACATCATCATACTGTCTCCACTTTCTATCCATTCTTCGTTTTCGGATGAATTGTCAGAACTTTCCCTCTTTACTGACTTAGCCTTGTTTTGTATTTTTATAATTTTTTCTTCCCTTTTTCGCTTTCTTTCTTCTGCCCGTTTTTGTTGTTCTTCTTGTTTTCTCCTTTTCTCAGAATCCTTTTTATGTGGTATTTTTGCCAAATATCTGACGTAATAGCACAAGGAATTTGCTCTTTATTCTTTTTTTTTGTGTTTTTTACTTCTTCCGGCCAAAAAAGGCTTTTTTAAATGGAGTGGGAACTTGTTTCTTTAAAGATAATACATTGAACGGCGTTGTATTTTCCAATGAATTTAAAGGAGATCTATCACTTTGTGATAGGTTAGTTACACCTCCCAGTAGGAGGTGTAATATTGACATCAGAATGTATAACAATTTTTAATGGGGTCATATCAGAATCAACTCTTTGTTGTTGAAGGCCAGAAGGTCCTGGTCTCGAGTTATCTAATATGTTTTCTACAAGATCATTTTCTTTCTTGTTGCAATTTTGGTTCTCACTTTTATTTATGTTTTCTAATGGTTCAACACCTAAAGCGGATTCTATTTTAATTTTTTTTTTCATTGTGTTCCATACATTAAATAGTGACACGTCTTCCATATTACCTGTCCATGCAGTATCAAAATTTGTTCGAAAGTTTTTTAATTTTTCTGAGGGAATACATTTTTCCAAAACTGCTAACCCTTCTATTATTCTGGTATGATTAACTTCTGTCGACGGGTTTGAAATTTTTGAAAATTTTACATTTTCTACATTAAACGGCGAAAGTCCACATGCCCTAAATCCATGTTGAATTGTTTTATCTGTAACTTTGGATAACGCTTCCTCAAACACTTTTCCGAAATTTTCTTTTCGCAATATTTTTCCGTGATTTTCGATGTGCCAATCTCTTACAGATTTTTTCCAAAATTGTTTTAGCGGCTTAAATACAGCCACATCCATAGGTTGAATTAAATGTGTAGAGTTTGGATACAATGCAAAAAGTTCTATTCCGTTTTTTGAACAAAACTTTGATAGGTGTAATGTCATGTGCGACACATGACCGTCAATCACATACTTTTCAAAGTATGTGCCGTCAATAAACATAATAATAGGTCTTAATTTTTTTCTCATCTAGCCATGGTACAAACACATTTGTTATGTATTCAAAAAAAGTTGCTCCCATCCTTCCACTTTCGGAACGGACTATTCCCCAACTTTTATTGATACTGACAGCTACATGACTTGGAATGCGTTCATATTTAAACACCACCATGGGAGGAGCTAGTGTCCCAGCGGCATTGGCGGTGACTAATACAGTTAAATTTTCGACAATAGTTTCTTCATTGCTTGTGAGGATGGTACTTGGTCCCATTCGGCAATGTATAGGTAGCTTTCCTGTTGATTTATAAAGTAACGTTCGTGGAACAAAGTAAGTTTTAGCAGCTGTAGCTACTGGCATCCCTCTTGCTATAGCAGCAAGAGCTTCATCCAACTGAGCATCTGTATAGTTTTTTTAGGTGCCATAACTGTAATAAAAAACGTGTTCCAGTTATTGACACTTCTTGTACCAATAATTGACACCCCTGTCAATGACTGGAACCAAAAGGCTGTTAGATCTCATATTTAAATGGTATATTGCAGACTTTTTAGACAGTATGACAACACTGTATATCAGTATTTGCTTGTGGACCAGTGATTGACAGGGTATGTCAATAACTGGAACATACTGGTTTTGTTTGATCCAATTATTGACACTTTAACAAAAATGAGGTTTTAGGATTTACATGCATAAAAACCCCCAGGAATAGTTTAAATAAATTTAACATGAAGTGATAAGAAGTAGATATATTCAATTTGGTATACTGACCTTATGAAATGTCTTAACATAAACACTCTATCACTGCACGTGCTCTTTTTACCATTCTGCAACTGACCGTGGTGCCACCTAACATCTGTTACGTAGGCTACACGGTTGCCAAATATTCTAAAAATACGGATGTTTAAGATAAATTTCTCATATATAGTCTAATGTTCTTATTTTTGAAGAATAATTGAGCAAGTGTCAATTACTGGAACACTGTCAATTATTGGTGCACTTACCTTAAGCATAGAAAACAGTGTAATACGTGCAGTGATGTTAAAGTTTTTACACAATCTTCAATATTAAACGAGTTTGTTAAGTGAAGCCGGTAATTTTATTTAGCACACACCTAAAAAAAAAAAAACAGTGCCGGTTCATACGTTCACCAGTCGAAGGTATTTTTTAAATATGTGGGAGAATAAGCCTAAAAACTCATACAGCAAGAATATATTTTTGTGTAATATAAGATGAAACTTTTTGCAACATATTGTGTAATAGATTGCGACATGCTCTTCGAATACCTCGTCAACAATAATATCTGAATATTATGTTGATAACGACATGTTCGAAGAGCACGTCGCAATCCATTACACAATGTAAGATTTGTTTTTCAAAATACAATTCTTCTTGATTAAAATCTCTGCATCACTTGGGAATCCATAATCGAGTATTATTACTTTCCTTTTGTATTCAATAACTTCCAAAAAAAAAAACTGTATTACTATTTTCCCTGTATACCATCTATATTTTACAACATAAGTTTAAATATGAATGCCTAAGGGATGCAGAACTTTTTAGCATGATTATTTTTTTTTTGTGAAATATAGGATATTATACATTGTTTTCCAAAAAGTTTTATACACACGAGAAAAAGTTTTTACTTACATTTCACAAAAAAAAATTCTTGCAATAAAGTTCTGCATCACGTAAGAATTCATAATCATATTTTATAATATATACGTATACAGGGAAAATAAAAATAAAATTATTTTCCCATGTTTATAAAACTTTTTGGGACACACTGTGTAATGGATTGCGACGTGCTCTTGGAGCACGTCATTAACAGCAATGTGTACTTTTAGACACTGTTGTTAACGATATTATACAGTGTTCCTTAAAAAGATTTCTACCCACAAGGAATAGTATTGTTTTTTTAAACATTTTGTAATTAAGAAAAGTCCAACAATTTTATAAATTGCAATAAATAAAAAAATCGACAATATTCTCTATTTATGACTAAATTTACAGGTACGTTTTTAACATAATTAAAAACAAAAACAATAAAAAAATCGAGGAAATAACCAGGGCCGCCGAGAGCCAGGCCGGGCCCCAGGACAATTCTCTAGATCGGGCCCCGTGACAAAAAAATCACCAAGAAGTGTTCAATACAATTATTAAAAAAAACTATTATCCCTGCTTTAATTACTTCTTCTTAAAAAAAAACAGTCTTCACATCAAAAAACTATTCTCCCTACTTTAATTACTTGTCTTCTAAAAAAAAGGACCTCAGTCGAAAAAAAAAATCTCTAGGCTACAACTTTTCCTGTACTTGCATTTCATTTCAATTTAAACTTAACTTCCCTCTATCATCTTCTGTCGAATTTCTCATGCAGAACAAACAAAACCTGTTGTCGGGCCCCCTTACAGCGCTGCCGGGCCCCGGGAATTGGTCCCGGCTACCCCCCCTCTAGTCGGCCCTGGAAATAACACTTAAATTATCTATTTACTATTTACTTTGCCCGAAACTCGCGAACACTTTCGCACGGCAGCCCAGTATTTTCGGTTTGAAAATTTCGCGACCTTTCCAACAGTATTTAGTTTGACTATAAAAGCGATGAGTGTATAAAAACAACGTTGATATAGTCATTTTGAACGCCATCAGCCCCCTAAACGTAAAGAAAGATGGTCAGCAGCCGAATATAGAAAATTAAATTGTTATCTATGGATCGGATAGAACATTTTCCAAAAAAGCGATGAGTGGAAGATGGCACATTTTTTAATTTGTTAACAATTTTTTATAACGTAAAACGCAAACGATATTGGCGTAGCTGCCGACGGATTACTATTCGCTGTGTGCATTTGGCTTGGAGGGGATAGATTGAGCTATCGCAGCGCCCATGGTGGCAGGAGTCGGCGATTGTCCACATCATCGTAGTAGCGCGGCAGCGTGTTGTGGGTCTCGTGTTGGGTATTAAAATGAGTCGAACTATTTCCGTAAACGCAATTACAAGAAACTGACAGAATTCGCCGAGTTGCATCAAGCTGAAATAATATTAGAAAACATGCGATTATTTTTATTATTGTCAATAATAAATGGATTTCAACACAATTTTTATCTTACATGCAATTCTACAAGATATTCTTTTTTCGTGACAGACGTTTGTCTAATGACACCAGCTCGGATAAAAAGGCCAACACCTGCTCTGTGCTCTTCGACATTTATGACATGCCCAGCTTCTACCAAATCTTTACCTTTTCTTGACGTTTCAGGCTGAAAGTTTATGTCATGAGATATTTTCTCAAATCCAGTGTACAAGATACAGATAAATAAAATACAGACAAATTACATTGATTTATGACATTCAAAACGCAGATACTTCGTATGCATAACCTCCAAATATTTTTATGTCATTTACTTACTTTTTGTGCGACACAAACAATTTGTGTTAGTCTATCAACTAACAGCTAACACAAAACTTGTTGCAACACTTAATTGTTGAAAAAGAATTTTCAAGTTCAACTGTTGAGTGTGAGGTGTATAGCAAGTATGCGGGAATGAATGAGGAGAACTGTCGTTATCCCGTCACCAGAGAGCGCTACCAGTCTTGCACACAGCGAATTGCACAATACGTATCCATAAAAATTTAACCACCCAACCTTTTACGGTAGGTTCCGATACTATTAAATAATGGTACTATTATATAATAGGTACACCAGATTTAGTGGTAGCAGCTGATGAAGAGTACAAAAGGGTTAATTTTGATAAATTCGGAAAACTAGCTACGGTTTTTCAAAGAGAAAATGGCACCGTAACTGCCGGTAATGCATCCACCCTAAACGATGGAGCAGCAGCTCTAATTCTAACAACGTCCGAGAACGCTAAAAGGTTAAACGCTAAACCGTTAGCAAGAGTTGTCAGTTACCAAGACGGAGAATGCGACCCAGTAGATTTTCCAATAGCTCCAGCAGTAGCGATTCCAAAATTACTTGAAAAAACTGGTGTAAGTAAAGACGAAGTTGCCATGTGGGAAATAAATGAAGCTTTCAGCGTTGTAGTTTTGGCCAATCAGCAAATCTTAGGATTGAATCCTGATAAGGTATTTAAAAAAAATCTTATATTTACCTTCAAAATAATAAATAATGTTTATTTTCAATATTACAACACACAGATGGAAATATAATACTTACTGGAATAATTATACAGGATGATATTAAAATACATGTACATATTTTAACCTTCTGTTTATATTTATTTACACTAAATACCAATAATTTATTTATTTATACTTAATGTCATCTTCAACTGTGTCTTCCCTTCAATTACTCTGATAATGTTCGATTGTAAATTCTGATGAGATCGAGAACATTCGTATAGCGCATTCGGCAGGATTTTTTTTTATGAATAAAGTGTCCAGAAGGTTCGGCACGCCAACTGTCTACGTAAGTTGGCGGCATATAAAAAACTTGTTAATTATTAATATTAGGAAAAACAGTTATTCTTCATAAAAAGTCGAGCATGGATTAAAACCTAAAATACAACCATCAGATATTAAATATTATTAGTCGTATACGAGGTTCGTCAAAAATAAAGATATTTTACTCTCCAGCAAAATTCATATTTTTTGACAAACCTCGTATACGGTTAAAAAAAATTATATCTGATGGTTGCATTTTAAGTTTTGGACCATGCAGAACTTTTTATAAAGAATGACTTTTTCTCATGAAACTAAAAATAAAAAAGTTTTCCATAGGTTCTGACTTAATTGGACACACTGTAAAAATAAGAGCGATATTATTTGAATTTAGATAAAGCAGAATTTTTTACCGTACGGCGATAAAAACGTTAAAATAAAAGCCTAGTGTTTACCTTGATACGGTACAATGAAAAAATCAAACTCGAAGAGAGCGTCTTTTCGGTCTAATTACAATTATGCCTCGCGCGGTCGCTGATTGCTCAACCAAAAGCCCGTTCCCAGCAGTGTTGCCAGATCTCCCGCTAAAGCGGTATTTCTATTTCTAAACCTGGAAGGAAGAGATATATGTATCAAGATATTAAAAATAATTATGTGTTTAATTTAACAAATTCACAATTACATTTAGGTATAGGAAATAAACCATTCAATTTTAAGTACATATATGTAATTAATAAAAATGTATTATAATACTTAAACAATCCACTATACAAAAAAGATATTTAAAGGAATATTTGCCAAATTCGCTTCAATTTGTTGCTAGATGTCGCCATTCGTCGCACTGTTTTTCCATCTACCGTTTTTCTACCGCTATTTCGAGCCAAGTTATACCGCCTTTTGAAAATTTCATCTGACAACACTGGTTCCCAGTCCAGGATTACCGCGCATCGCCCAGAGATCGAGGTTCGCGCAAGGAAGGCTAGACGTCGTACATGTATTTTAATAACGTATCAAAAATAACAAATCCAAAGTGTTAATTTCACTTTTAACAATAATTTTTACATATAACTGATGTGAACGAAAGTTATCACTATTTTTAAGACAATTAAGTTTATAAGTCTCGACAGCTTTTTGAGTTAAAAATCGTTATTTTTAAAATCAAACAATAGTTGATCAAAAACAACATCCCTATTACATTTAAGTTAATATTCACGATGGTGCAACAAAAACAACAAACCAAAAGTGTTAATTTCACTTTTAACAATAACTCTACACGTTACTGATCTGAACGAGTCATCACTATTTTTAATGCAATATCTCAACAGTCTTTTGAGTTCAAATATTTCCTTTTTAATCAAACAATAGGTGACGAAAAATACTAATTGCCCTATTACATTTAGATTAATATTCACGGTGGTGCAGTCAGTTTGGGACATCCCATAGGCATGTCTGGAGCAAGATTAATAGTACACTTGGTGCATTCTTTGAAGAGCGGCGAAAAGGGAGTAGCTGCCATCTGCAATGGTGGAGGTGGCGCATCTTCTGTGATGATTGAAAAATTGTAAGTTTATTTGCTAAATGGTTTATAGAGTTAAGAGAAAAATTGTATTTTTTTATCTTTTCGATTTATATAAATTTAGGATATACAGGTAGGTGATTCAAGTTATTCATTATACATTTTAAAAGTACCATTTTTATTAACCTGTGTTTTACGTAATCTGTATTATCAATTTTATTTGTTTTAATTCTCAATTTTTTGAGTAATTTTAACTTGAATCGTCTATTACAAAAAGTGATTTTAATCACGAAATTTAATGCCAAAATTTTATTTTTATTTATACATTTTTTTAAATATATGGAATAAATAAAATAATTTTAATTCGCTTTAATCTTTTAATAAATAAATTCCTTTCATTTATTACCTATGATATAATAATAATTAGGAGTAAGCAAAACAATCAATTATTAATCGAATAATTGATAATTTTTGATGAATCGAATGTTATCGAATAATCGATTATTTTCGATTAATCGATTATTTTTTATTAATCGATTATTTTCGATTTATCAATTATTTGATTAAGCGATTATTTCGATTATTGCACCCATAATGGTCATGTAATTGTATTCATTATCATTTGGGGAATACAGCAATACAGCAGTCTCTAATAAATGCTACACTAAAAGCTTCCAATCGTCTAGTTAACTCATCCAGATATAAAGGGTTTTTTTAGGTTTGATAGAACTTTAGATAACAACTACTGTGGGTTGGCTCAGTGGTTAGAGTCATGACTCTGAGATCGGAAGGTCTCAGGATCGAATCCCACCGGTGGCAGGAATTTTTATTTAATTTAAAAAATTAAATATCAATTCTAATGCATAGGTAGGATTCCCCACTCGACCATTCACTGTTGGGTTCTAATTAACAGTGCTGTTCCTAAAGTGGCGCTGGGAAACAGTAACAAAGCCTACACAGAACACGAGGCTAATGGCCGTAGTAGTCGACGCCGATGACACCAAATTAAAAAAAAAAAAAAAAAAAACAACTACTGTCAGTCTGACGCTGTTTATAAAATTTATTTTCCCTATACTTTGGCAAATCATCATGAATATATTTATGCTTGAACAACACTACCAAATTCTTCAAACGCAAAGAAGATAAATTAATTTCGAGAAATGGGCCTGTTAACTATCCACCGAGGTCCTGTGATGTGATGCCCTTAGATTATTTTCTGTGGGGGTATATCAGTCATTATTTTATGCTGATATACCAGCAACAACTGAAGCCTTAGAAGGTAACATTGCTTGTGTTATTCAAGATATATGACCAAAAGTGCTCGAAAAAGACACCCAAATTCTTCGAGCATGTATATTTCATAGAGTCTGCATTCAACAGCGTTTGTTTGGGTTAAGAGACACTTTAACCAGTGTCGCATCATTTTTACGGGGTTTGCAATTAATAAAAATAATTAATTTGATACATACTTTTAAAATTCTTTAAATTAAGCACATATTTTATAAACTTGCATTATTTAAGTAGGTAGCTAGTAATAGTAAATTATTATTATTATTTGTGTTTGACACATCAGATTTTTTTAATTCAAACATCAGAAAGTGTATAAAGGAAAAATGAAGGTTGAAATAATTGGCAATAAAAGAGATATAAAAAGATTATAAATATTTAAAAATCAAAGATATAAATAAATAGTAGGTATATTATACAAATATTTATGATAGCTATTAACACACCTGTACGAGAATTACAATACAAGAATTTTTTCCAATAATTTAAATAAATAAAATATTGTTCGTAAACAATGTCCAATAGATTACTAAATGATATACTACAAATAGAAATCAAGCTAATAACTAATTATTTTTGTGACACTGGCTCTGAGATTTTATTTTATTTTAATTAATTTATAAAAAACATACAGTACTTGGTCACCGAGAATACCCCACCAGACTTTGACTTTTTGGCGACGTTGGGTAGTAGTCACAACACTCCTGTGCTGATTTTCCCGAGACCAGTATCGCAGACGGGAAAGATTGTGTCAGCTTCGTAACGCAAACGATGACTTTTCAGAGAAAATAATTTTTGATTTGCCTTTTCCATTACTCTTTCACAAAATTCCATCCTGTGAATCAGATCTCCGGTAAATAATTCATGAGTTTTACTGTATTTAAACCACTTAAACCCAAACTTTTTAAATTTTAGCCATAATTGTGTGTGCAATCTACAATTCCTTAACAATGGATGTGGTGCTACGTGTATCATCCACCTCACTAGCACTACACATGTCTACATCAAGTCTTTCTCTTATTGCTCGTTATTCTGGGTCTGGGGATACATGTGTTGGCTGACATTTTGAATACTCTTGTAAACAGCGAGATTGTTGACAATATTATAAATTGTCTGCCTGGTAGGAACAGGCCTCCACCTTCAAATGAAAATAACAGGCATCTACCTTCAAATGAAAATAACAGATTCAAAATCGCTACAGCAGAATTACCTTAAAACTACCATTTTAATATCTAAACTTTTTCTTGTGTTAAATAAATAATGGGCATTTTGAGAATTTATTATTTTTGCAAATTCAACACTTTTTTTCGTTGTTGTTCGAAGTCTGATACCGATACCGTATTATCGTATCGTGTTTACTTCACCTGTGGAGACGCCACACCTTTCGACACAGACGGGATATCGACATGTTGGCCCTCAAAGCATTGCTATGCCAAAGAGAAAATAATAAGTACTGCATATCCAAAACTCATGAAGAATAACACAGAAGTAGTTTGAAGCACAAATTTAATCACAACGTTGACATGCGCTCTCTTAAGATGAGAAAATCTTAACTAACTGAGTGAACTGCAATCGTTGAGTGATAAGCCCTACAAATTGCTCCGAAGTGACTGTTTTTTGGAAAAATTCTGGTGGTTTTACCGAACTTCGTTAAAAGACTTAACTCTTTTTTATTTTCTTAATCTTTTAGCTTAAAAGTTTGGTGATGAATCCTAAATTTAAAATGATTGGAACATAAAACATCACTATTTGAAATGTTTTCTGGAGTAAGTTTCAATATGTCACACCAAATGCGTTTTTCAGCAGGATTAGCTGGAAACGTACAAAAAAACAAAATTATTGTTTTAAAATCTTCAACATTATCATGATAAAAACGAAAAAGCTTGTTTATATTGAAAAAATATGATTATTTTTTTTAACTTTTCAGTAGAGTCCAAAATCAAAAACAATATTCCTCATACATAATACAAGTTCTTTAAATTTAATTCACTAAATTTATCATTTATTTTAAATTCATGTTTATCAGCCTTTTGCATACTTACGTTTCTTTTTAAAAAATGGTAGAGACGCTAATGGTTACTTACTTGCCTTTTTATATTTATATTTACAACTTACACAAACTCTCACCATTGTTAAAATTTGTATCACTAAGTAATAAAATACAAAAAATTACTTATAAACAACAAAAATAAACTAGAAATTAATGAAAATCAAAAACCAAATGTCAGTTCTGACAATTTCGAACGATTTGACATGCCAAGCAAAACGAAACAGACCAATGGGAATTCTGGACACTATTTTCCCCCTGTATCAAAACAAAATCCATTTGGACGATGACTTTAGCAATATGCTTCAAGCCCAAATTGGACCAAAAGAATGCTCTACTTGCGGACAGCCGCGGTGGACACATGTTGCAAATAATTTTTAAATGTTAATGTAATAGATTTTTTTAAAATACTATTATATTTTTTATCACAAACTATTTTCTTTAATATTTTTTTAAAGTTTAAAGTTCTATCAACCTTAAAAAAACATCCTTTATAACACAACGGCTAACTGAGCCAATCCTATTAGTTCGTGGTCCGACACGCCCAACATAGGGCGCGGCCATTTTGAACCCTAGACACAGTTTATAGCTAAAGAATCAGATCGCTCACTCTGCGTCGGCACTTTTTATCTCAATGTTCCAGTCACATACTTTGATTACTATACGGGGCAAGAGAGAGGTCCGACACGCCCAACATAGGGCGCGGCCATTTTGAACCCTATGACACAGTTTATAGCTAAAGAATCAGATCGCTCACTCTGCGTCGGCACTTGTTATCTCAATGTTCCAGTTTATACACTGCGCAACTCAGATAATACAATATATGACAACCGCCTATAATAAAACAGCAGTCTTTTGCGTATCCTGAATTTGTATCCCTGGAGTGGATGTTATTTTGGAACTTTCAACTGGTCCGAGTGAGCTAACTGATTCTTTAGCAATAAACTGTGACTCCAAAAATAATATTCACTGACAGCAGCAAGCAAAATATCAGGTGCGTTTTAATCATCCGCTTCTGCTTCCGGAATTGTCGGTTCAGTCGTTCTAACCTGTCAGATTAAAACAAGAAAACCGGCAATTCCGAAGCGGAAACGGATGATTAAAACGCACCTATTAAAAATATTGCGCCAAGATGTAGGCAACACGTAATAAGGGTTCAAAATGGCGGAGTTTTCTACCTCCTTTTAAAAGGCACTCAGAAAGCTGCGCAGTGCGACCATTCTCCGTATAGCAAAAGAAAATCAAAGTATGTGGCACAGATGAGAATTATCGGAAAAAGGCACTGATCTGTATTATTTTACTGGATAGGATATAGGCTATATTTAACATACTAACACCAAGGAGACCGGAAGTGCAACGATGCTGGCCGATTTGGGCAAATTATGGTGGGTTCACAGAACTGAAATTTGGGATAATTTGACATACCTAACCTATAACTTGATTATTTTTTCTTCTTATTCTTCTTCTATTCCTTTTACGGGCGATGTCCTTCTGGAAAATTCACCCATGATTTAATTTTTTATGAAAGAAAATATAAAAATGGAAACGTGAAGCATATTGTGTCTTCAGGAATGAACGTTTATTATTTATTTCATACTCTTTTTACTTTGTTTTCCACAATAAAAACATCTCATCGTTGCTTGTTGACACAATTAAATGACAAATGTGATGACAAATGGAAATAGAGGTTACGTTAAATAACATCCGGTCCGCCATATTATTTGCCCAAATCGGCCAATTTTTCGGAACGCTTTTTAGGGGGCTATATCCTATCCAGTAAAATAATACAGATCAGTGGAAAAAGGTATCTATATAATGATAATCCGGCGTTTTTAACTCAAAAACGAGGCGTTTTCATGAAAAATTTTACTGGAATTTTTATGAAGAACGAACGATTTTCTGTTGATTATGTCCTTATACATTTTTGCCAAACTTTATATTTTTGCCGCTAGAGCGCGTTCAAAAAATAAATATTTTGCGATTTTTCGCATTTTACATAAAAACCACGCATTTTGGTGGAAAATTTCATCAGAACAATGTTTAGAGCCTATCAAACAGATTTTAAAACTCATCGTGTCCACTGTTAAAGCGCAGGCGCGGAAAATAAAATTTGTTTTTTCAATAAATGATTATTCATCAATTTTTGTTTAAACTTCCCACTGTTCTTTATTGAATATTTATTTATTTGGATTATTTTTTTGCTGGTTATAATATCAGATTTGTTTTTTTTTTGTTGTTTTTGTTTTCTATGTTTTGTTTTTATTTTTTTTTTAATGTCAGGAAAGTTGAATCTCGGGGGACATGGAGCCGTTCTTGATCTGTGATTCTCTCAATTTTTAAAATTTACTTTCATTTTTTTTTGTTTTAAATATTTGTACTAATTTGACTAAGATATCTTTTGACAGGACGGATGACCTACCAGCAAACGAACTACCAATCCTCACATTGTATACGAGGGATCCTTGTCCATTGTGTGACGAGTTAAAATCAGAAATTAGCCCATATCTCGAAAGGCTAAATTTCAATACTGTGGACATTTCAAAAAAAGAAAATATCCATTATTTAAGATTATATAGATATGAAATACCAGTTGTGTTTTTAAACGGACAATATTTGTGTAAACACAGATTGGATAAAAGATTGTTAGAAGAAAGATTAAAAGATATTGAAGATCGAAGATAATTTAAATAGGGTCTTCTATTTTTTAGTATTATTAGGTAAGTATACCTACTGTATTAAGTGTGAAATGTTTTTATTTTTAAGAAGACTTAAATTAATTTTAGCTCAGTCTATTTTGTTATATTATACAAATTTAATTTATTAATAAAAATATGTTTACAATGTTTTATGATAAGTCTAATCAATCAATTTTTCTCTAACACTGACTCTACAATTTAATTTTCTTTGCAAAAACTTCAATCGTATAATCCAAGCCCTCGTTTCTCTTGGAGTGCATTTCTATGGTTACAAAAGTATGGTTGACGCCTCCTTCGCTAACCAGGACCTCCGCTCCTGCTGCATTTTGTTTTGAAGGAACCGCCATTACGCAATAAATTTTAAAATCTCCATGACAGGATGCCTAAAATATGCAAACGATAAATATGTAGGTATATTTATTTCAAAACAGAAAATGTTTTTCCAATCTCAATTCAAATTCGCCACACAAACATTTTAAGAGTCAGGGGGAAGAAAGACGAAAGTCCATATTTGGTCAAAAATAAAGTAATTAGTGCAAAATATAGTTTTGCACCTCTATTATCCCCTACTAAGACGAGGAAATAACGTTGACAGTCACGAGACAATGGCTTAAAAATCGATATCGCGGGCGACCTGGCAAGACCTCCTATCCTATCTGATAATTGACAAACTTTACAGGAAACGCAAAAAACTTTGCTACGACTCTTAAAAGAATATTTTGCTACTTTTTTGTTTAAAAGGGCATTTGGACAATTTTCTCTGTTATATTTAAAAATTGTTTGTACAATATAGTTCTTACATAAACATATAGGTCAGATAGGAGATATTTACATTGATAAAATAACTAAAGGGAGTTTTTGCATCGCTTTTTTTTTCGGATAGGATAAATTGAAGTAAGCAAAATAATTAGTATTAAAATAATTTAAAAATAGCTTTATTAAAATAAAAGAATATTTTTGAACCCCATCTTTTCTTGGGATTAAGAAAAAAAAAATAACTGATATTAGAAAAATCAAAAAGTTGTTTTAAGTTTAAGTACTACAATAATAGTAATTAATGTTAGAAACTAATCAAAAAGCAGATTGTCGTAAAACGAATGCGTTATCTTTTGGTAACGCCGATTTAAGATCCTGAAGGTGGTTCCATTTTTCTCTTTTAATTTTACATTGGCTTTTTACTGAGCAACAGAGTGCTCCATAATTCAGTACTACCGGTTACGTAAGTAGCAAGCGATCATTGGTATATCCATCTATGAACGCAGAACGAACTGTTAGATCTGCCTGGTCTGCGATGTAAAGACTAAAGATAGCCATCTGAAAGATGTGTAACTTGCACACATTACTGTGCTGACCTGTATGCGATATTATTGTGAGTTATATAAATTAACATCGTATAAATGTTTGTCATAGGAAGTAACTAAAAAGAAGTACAGAAGGTGTTTATGTAACTGCTATTTCAAGAATTCCAGCGTACATGAAACTTCATTTGTAGATATATGCGAGGAATTCATTAACATCTATGGGATATTTTAGTACCGTTTTAAAAATATATCAAGAAAAGTCTCTATGAGAAACGTTACAAAAAAGACTGGTAATGTTTCATGTTTAGTGGGTCTGCTTACAACGTAAATCTAGCTGACAGCATTGTTAATAGTGTTACCGGTGCATTGGTGCTATTAGGGGCTGCAACGATTTAAATTTAAATATGGGTGTTGCAGACAGTGCTAATTCTGATTTGACCATCGCAACCGCATCCACCGAAAATTACGACATAGCAGTACCTGAGCTGAAGGTACGTTGCTGTTGTTAGATAGTGGGTCTCAAAAGAGAAGCTCTGTAGAAGGTTAAATTTAAAATCAAGTAAGGTAAATTTTTCTGTTAAAGGAGTCTATGATAATTTAAACTACATAAATAATTAAGTAAATGTTACAATAATTACGAAACTAATATTAATTCTTTGGTTTTACCTAGATTAACTGTAAGTTTGCCATTGAAATCATTCAGCATACAAAATTTGAATATTGCTCAACATTTGAAATTAGCTGATCCAAAATTCAATAACAGTAGAGAAATTGATTTTTTAATAGGTTTGTTCCAACCCATCAGAAAACCGTACATCGTACGGTCATCGTCATGCGCAGTAAATAAAGTCCGTTCCATCCGAGAATTGACGATTCATTGTACCACAAAGCACATAGAGGTTCCACGTGAATGACCAAGGTCAAAACCGACAACTGACATTTTTTATGCTATTTGCTCCAAACTCTAGATGGGGCTACTGGTGAAATTATGATTTCTTACTCCATTTTTAAGCCTTATGGGAGAAAAACTTAACCAAAGACTCCAAAGATGTGACGTGTATTTATTTATGTTCTTGGTTAGTTTCATTTTCCGTCTGATTTTAGTGATTTTTTGTTGGCTTTGGCTTTTGGTTTTTGTTTATAGTTTCGTCTTAGTTATTTGCAAAATTGTGATGTTTCGCTTTTTTATTTCCTACTGTGTTTTGCAATAATTTTGGTGCTACGTTGAAAACTTCGAGAAAAACTTCATTGATTCACCATATATTCACCATGCATCTGCATCATAAAAAGACAAACGGGGACAACAACTAATTGATAATCAATTTATCACTGGACTAGATTCCGAAATCATTTTTCACATAAGAGAGTAATACCACCATCTGTATTTGGAAGGAAAATACCTATTTATCATTGAATGAATAGTTAAAAGGATTCACCTTTTAATACAATACCTATATTACATTTGTCCTCAGTTAAAAAGACATTATAAAATATATAACTTTAGTGTTAATAAAATGTAATATCCTAGTCTCTACTTCACATTTAAATTATTGATAGGTATTTTAAAGATTTGAGATTATATATCTATTTGCTCCAAGTAAGTATTCGTTAAATATGTATTATTATTATTATTTGTATTTATTTTTATCTAATAATATTTATTTAAGTTATTAATAAACATGTTTTAAGAATCTTCTATTTTATTATTTATTGATATATCTTATATTTATTTAATAAAAATATGCAGAACCAACTCTCCACATTAGACCCCTCATAACAAATTAATTCTTCAAATTTGGTATAATCGACCTAAATTATTTTGTAAAATAAAAGTTTCGAACTTACTAGTTCCATACTTTATTTTATAAAATAATTTATGTGGAAATCATTTAAAATTTAATTTAAAACTACTACCTACTCCTAAAAATTACAATTTGAATTTACCGCCATCTGTCAATTGTCATTTTAGTTCCAGCTCCAAACACAAGGTGGCGCTAATTTGGTTTAAAAGTTTAACATTGGCGTGGGGTCTCTAGAAGATACATGCTTTGTGCATTGTACCGTCCGGTTAGCGTTCAAATCAAACATGAGACCGTTCGGGAATCGGTTTCTGTACAGTCCTTTCGATACCAGGCTAAAAGTTGGTATCGCTTGGGTTGACATGCGCACTGTGTACTGCGTACACTGAAACGATCAAGGCATGTCTTTTTTGTTTGGATTTCACGATTAATACTTGGACACAGATTACCCAGATGCGAAAGTTGACAAAGAACATCAAAATTAAGAGAGAGATAAATGGCCATACCCATTTAAAGGTCCCTCGTAGTAACTCGTTTCTACTCGCGCAGTTTCGAAGGCAAAACTTGTTTCATTATGCGAAGTTGCAAATGCTTCTAGGTTTTCTGATGTTATGTGACATTGAACTTAAAGTTAAATGAAAAATGTACATACATTTTTTAGTTACCACAGACGTTACATATAAATAACGCCATAAAATATTACAAAACAATTTTAAAGTATATAATGACAATCAATGACACCTTAAAAACGCGTGAAAATTTAATTTTTGATGTGACAACCTTGCTTTGCAACCCAAAACTACATTTTTTTTTTTTTTAGTAAATATTAGTTATATTTATTAATCAATATTTTCATGAGAAATGTCATACGTCAACGTCGTGAAAACAATAAAATAGTATTTTTAAAGTTGATGAGAAAATTGCAACTCAAACCTACAATTTTTTTAGTAAATTTAAGTTATATTCATTAATCAAGATTTTCATGAGAAATGTCATACGTCAATGAGAATTCAAATTCTTAGAAGAATTTTAACCCTCTCGAAATAAACCAAGGGAAACAGTCGGTGAGTTCTCACTGGCTTTAAAAATACTGTTTTTACGATGTCGTATGACAGTTCTCATGAAAATCTAGAGAAATCACTTTCTATCGAGTTTCAAAATAGCCACCCAGAAATTGTCGGCGGTGGAGTTATTGTTGTGGCCTCCATGTGAGCGAATACAATCAAAGAACAGCTCTATGTGGTCTTAAGACAATTGGCATATTGGCAAAAACTGTAAATGTGAGTCGGTGTTCAAAGGCTTTTTATAATGAAAGTGAAGTAAATGTCTAGAATTTAAGAAATTAAAGAGATTATTTATAATTCTTTTAAATCTATTTTTTGTACCAACTTCAGCAAATTCTCTCATTTTTAATTCATCTTCACAAAATCCTAATGCGGTTGCAACATTCTCACTCAAAGCACAATTAATATCGTAATTTCCCAAATACCGCCCTGCACATTGCTCACTATTTAGTTGTGGAATGTTATTTAAGATATTTTTTTTTGTATGAATATTTGTTAGACTGCTACAACTACATTGAGCACAAGCGAACATTGTTTAACTTTTAATATGTAGGTACAATACCTATATTTAATTTGCAAACGACATAAAATCTAAAAAACGTTGATTGAAATCATGATTAGCTGTTTGACGGATTTGTAAACACAATATAGCAGAAGTGAACCCGTCTGATACCACGTGCAGCGTCTCCCTACTTTCTACCTCCATGAGCTCATGCCTTGAAGTAAATATATTAACCCTGTCAAAAAGCCCACATACACAATTTTGACAAGTCGTTGGAAAGCCAATATCAATGCATGGTTCTTGAATGTGTTCTTCATCTGTAAGCCTGATGACGACCCTACGGCCGAAGGTTGCCATTTAATTACTTATAATAAAGAAAAATGTATGTACTATTAAGTTTTTTTTGTAATTATCATTATGGTCCATCCATTAGTAGAATAATATAAAAAATTAAATCCATTAAAGAATACGTTTTTACTTACCGTGGCATTTCTAACCATTAGCGGTATAGCTGGTTTGTAAATATGGTCTTGAAAAACTAAATCTGCAAATGGAGCATTTTCACAGTCCCCTTCGTCTAATTCTCTCTCTGTTGGAGGAATAAATGTTTTTTCAGAATGTGCTGCAAGCTGTAGAATATTAAATGCGAATATTAGCAAAATCCACAAAATGTAAAAGTTTTTATAAGAGTAAATTTGTTTCTGCATTCTTTTATATTATAAAATAAATATTATGCAATAAGCATTCTAGAATGACAGAATTATTTGACATAAGTTGAAAATCTGGGCAGTACCGGACTTTAGATTTTTTGTTGAAATTTTGATCTAACATGCACTGATACAATTATTTATTTGTATTAAAAAAAATCTTGTTTCTCAAATAATTGTTTCCTATGGTCCAAACTAATATTTATTTGATACATTTAAAGGACTTGTTTGCCATGTGAATCGTTAATTAATTTAAGATAGATAAATAAATATTCTATTATAATCAACTACTATATAGTCTGAATAAAAAAAAAGTGCAGCAAAAGTGGGGATATAACGTCACATTCCATAGGCGTACTTTGCAAAATAAGTAAAAGGGTGTCTCAAAAATATTTTCGTTTTTGGATCCATCCTCTGGCGTAGTACGCATGTTCCGGAGAAATGAGATAGTTGGCAAACGTTTGGCAACACAGTTAAGTTTTAGTTGCAATTAAGCGTTGGGAAAGTAAAAGTTGGAAAGGCTTTTGGTAGGTAGAGAGGGGGTAAACGTCAAACCACGTCGGACGGCTTCGAGAATTTCGCAGTAATGTTTACCTGCCAGTGTCGTTTCATAGAATAAGTAATTTTAAATTGTTATCGGCGGAACCGGACAATCGCATGTATTTATGGACTATAAATAATTATTAAATATGTATTATAATATTCATGTCATAATTTTACAAAATTTCAACAGCTATTCACAATTTATTAAACTATTTACTCGAAATTGTTATTAACATCTATAAAATAATTTTGTACATCAATGTATCGCGTCCACTTCGGTGAGATCCGCAGCAAACCTGTCAATTTATGTGTATAAAGTGGGAAAACTGGCAAAAGCCTTTCCAACTTTTACTTCTGTTCTACGGGGCGCAAGTGCTTTTTGTTTTCGTGCGTTTTATAAAAACAATGATTCTTACGTTCTTGTGCGTCGTTTGTATAGAAACCATTACAACATAGCAAGAGTGAGATATGTTCCAAGTGCAAATTTGATTAAATATTGGGTGAGAAAATTCGAGAACACTGGAAACACGTTGATTATTACACTCGCCTAAAGTTATCGTATGGGCTGCTATGTCAAGCTAAGGAATCATCGGCCTGTATTTTTTTGAGGACAATCGTGGTCCAGCTCAAATTGTTACATCTAAGCACTACTGCTCCATAATTAGGACTTTTTTTACTACTGCAATTCAGAGCCGTGGTGGATACAATAGAAACACGTTTTTCCAACAAGATGGAGCGACTACTCATGTTACGAATGATTCCTTGGATGCTCTTTATCAGTTATTCCCAGAGAGGCTGATCAGTCGCAGAGGGGATATTTACTGGCCCCCGAGAAGTCCCGATTTAATACCGGCAAATTTTTTCTTGTGGAGATACCTCAAAACCAAGGTATACACCCTACCGCCACAAGATTTGAGAGAACTGAAGCAAAAAATAACAGACGAAATCAACGCTATTCCTCGCTTCGGAGAGTGATCGATAACTTCAGTTCGGGATTAAAGGTACCATTTGGGTAGGCGCGTCAAGAGACAAGCGACCACTGATGCGACCCCAAGGTCGAGTAGGACGACAGATGCATAAATGTTACGCTTGGTGCATTTCGCAAGCTTGAGAAGTGTCGCGCGACAGTTACAGGATAACCATTCGGGGGAACGATCAGTGTTGTCAGACCTACTGTTTTCACGTAGATCTACTGTTTTTGTCTATAGCAAATTTTGTTCTTAATTTATTAAGTTTGCCTCATTCTTCAGCAAATGGTTAAAGAATATTTTTTGTCTAGTAAATTTTCTGCAGTAAAAGTAGCGTAATAAGCATCCACTACTCTAGGTTGGCTCCATAAAAAAAAACATCAAGATAATCATTGTTTTTATTTAAAATGAAACAAAGAATTAATAGGGCATCATAAAAAGAACATGCACACTACGATTTTGAATTATCTGATTCAGACAGAACTAAAAGATTATTATTATTATCTATTATTTTTCATTGTTCTTTTTTGTTTCCGTACGTTAAGCATATATTAAAAATGTTATTATTTGTTTTTATTCTTTGTTTACCTTCTAATTTGGGTCGACAAAAAGTTTATTTTTCGTTTCTTATATACTTGTTTTTTTATTTACTACACTGCAAATTTTAATTATTTCCCCCTGTATTAAAATCTACTGTTCAGATCTACGGTTTTTTTTTACCCATAAAATCTGGCAACGCTGCCTAGATCGACAGAAATTTCCGACCGAATCACCCCCAAAAAAAGCGATGCCGAGGACAGTAACCTCGAGTGCGATACGCAGCAAAGCTTTGCACCGAGAAGTGTCTCCAGGACGACACTTCTCGGTCGTGTCGCGCCGTGCGAAATGTGTTTCATATAATTGCATGTATTTTAGATGTGAAGCGACACTTCTCGGTCGTGTCGGCGGTCGTATGTCGCGTCGGCGGTCGTCTGTTGCGCCTACCGAAATGGTACCTTAAGAGAGCGTGAAAACATAAACGGTGCTCATTTATCCAACACTCTTCTCCATAAATAAAAAAATAATGTTTAGGCTTTCTTTTGATAATAAAATTATCTTGGTACAACAAATTTTAGTATTTTTTTACTGCATAAAATAAGCAAATATTTTATGCACCCTTTATAATATAATTAAGGTCACGGCATATAAAATGATACTTAGTAGATTAAATTTTGAATGAAAAAAAGTTATATTGTTTACTAATAATAAAAATAAACCTTATGCTTCTGACAAAATTGTTGCACTTTAATATTGAACGAATTAAATTTAGTCAATAAATAACAAGGAGGAAAATTATGTTATTAATGGGATTAAACTTTTTTTAATCTCTTGGAATTAAAAGTAAAATTTCAGTACCTAAAATTGAAGATTAAAAAAAAATAAAAAGTTCAATAACTATCTTTAAAAGTCACTGTCTTCAGTATAACTACTGGTATCATTATCATTGTCTTTTCTGAGGTTAATTATTATAGGGTATATTTAAGTTTTCCATTGCTTCTTTCCAAAATGAATTTTCCACCTTTTTAACATGATCAATGCATGTTCTCCAATGTTGGCCGGTTACATCAGAAACTGTCTTCAAAAACAACTTTCCCACATCAGGTACTTTAAATGTTGTATTGTTTCGAGAAACATAACCTTTTAATTGTAACCAGATCAGTTCAATGGGATTTAACTCTGCGTGGTAAGGAGTCAATCTAAGAATTTAAATTACTTTTTCTCGGGCTATCTCGTCTATAATATATTTTTGAATTTGTTTTTATTTTGCCCGGCTATTTAGTAGGACTGATAATATTTTTAGAGTGAAGCGATTTTGAAATATCTTCTTTTTTCCATGTTGTTGTAGGTAGCGTAGTGACTCCTTTAAATTGACTGTGATCCAAAACAACCGATTTTTATAATGTTCTGAAACCAAGTTTCGAACATGGTAGTTTCCATGGTAGTTTCCATGGTAGTCTTTTATTTTCTTTGACTCGAACATTACTATACTACCTGGCAAAAATCTATCGGTGCTCCAATGTGGTTTATTATTAAAAGATTTACTTTTCCTGTTGCATTTTTTAATCCACAAGAGATCCCTTCCATAAAAGCTTGTGTTTTGGTTTTGGATGTATCTTGCCAAATTTGTGTTACTGTATGTCCAGCACTATCATCTAAATAAAATACCTGTTTATGCTGATTTCTTGCGTCCGCTACTTTCTTTAAATAATCATGTCTCCACGAAATGATTTCGTCTTTCTCTGTTAAAAATCTGTTTCTGTCACGTTTTTTGTAACGAAAATGTAATTCGTGGAGCTATTTTCTATTTCTGAGTATAGTTTTTTAAGTGTAGCCATTTCATTTCAAAAGAAAAAAGAATGTACCATTTGACTTTTGCATTCTTTACCCGAGGTCTTGTTTCTTCCTGGGGGCTTTTTCGGATGTGAGACTTCTCAAATAACTACTTAATAATATTGTACTGTCCGCTTAGATACTCCCTGTATAAGTGTCACATTTAGTGGCTATTTCATCCACAGAAAGTGACATAAAGTCTTTTCGACGATTTAAATACATTAATTACGATATTTTTTTCTTCTAAAGATAATACTTTAAGTCTACTAGATCGTTTACGCGTACTTGTGCTTGCAATATTTTCTAATACACACGCCATTCTTATATAACTGTAAAATTATAATATATACTAATACAAAATTCAGAATCAATTAAAATTCATACGATACTGCTATGAATAAATAAAGTCTGACTTATCTGTCAAAAGAAAAGGTTTATATTACAGTAAAAAAATCATATTCCCGCATCTCCTTGCTCTGCCCTCACTTTACGACCGCTTGCCTATGGTTAATGTAGAAAAACTTAAAAATCAAATTTAAGAATAAGTTATATTAGATAAAAATATGACAATGTTGCTTGATATAAAGAAATTTTCAGGTTTCACCATCTATATAAAACTACGTGAATTTACAATAATTACATAAATAAATCATAGAGCTGTTTGATGTAATGTTAGTTGTGTTAGTAGGGTTAAAATTAAATATTTTTGAACATATAGGACTTGTAAATACTGAAATATTCATTATGTACTTAGAGCCTCTAATGCGAATATATTCTAGTTCCTGAAATAGTTTTTATAGCAATTGTAATGTAAAAATTAACCCTTTTTCTTTAACAAACGTATACAACAAATAGACGATACAACCCTGTATAGGTTTCATTTCGAATGAATCATAGGAGTAGTACGAAAATTTTGCGAATGATAATATTCGATTGTTATAAGGTTTTGTGGAAAAGGAATTTTAATAAATTATCCTATTTATATGCAACCAGTTATACGCTTACGGGTATTATGAATAATATAACTAGTGGTTTGTTTGTCGCTAATGTAATTGTCGGATATAAGGCTGAAATAAATATCCAACAGGTGCTAATATTATTAAATAAATCTATAATTATA